AGCTGTGAATCCACTCAGGAAGCTAACTGAGCTGTCTGACATGTGTGATCTGCAGGAAGGCAGCAGTAACAGCACAAACAGACATGAACCTCAGGGAGATGTTCTCCTGGTCAGGGGCATGTAAACATGTTTTAAAGCCCTGCTGAGGCTCTCTGCAGAGGAAGTCCTCATAAATCAGACCAACGAAGAAGAGCAGCTCAGCAGCACCCTCAGTACTGACGCAGCAGAACAGCTACTGCTGAACGAAATTGATGAAAGTCACCTTTAGACGTTAGACTTTTTATATTGAGCGCCATAACCTATACTCTGTTGAAACTAATAATGTATTTCCCACTCACTTTGATACCAAACCCATATCTGCTAAGGTTAAATCTCACTTCTTAGGTACTTGTTGACTGTCTTTTTTTTTTTTACTGTTCCTGGGTCTGTCTGAGCATGTCTTCAAAATACAAAGATTACCCCCGTATAGATTGTTTTCTGAAGCCTTCAGTGAAGTGCTACTGAAAAGACAAGATGATAATAAAAAAGAATAACAAAGAATATCTTTCTTAGCAAAAGCATTGCTAAGTAAATAACTCCACTCAGGCGGAGTTTTATGACTTTATAAAGCTTTTGTGACAGTATAAAGACAAGTGAGCAGCAAAGTCTTGGTAAGATGCCAAGATGTGCAAAATGTAAAAAGGACTGCAGCTTTTAATCTGACATTTTCAAAGGTTTACAACCACCCCATAACCCGCCCATTCACATCCAACAATTGTAAGCCAGTCTTAAAGAGGGGTTAAAGCCTGCGTCGTAAATGTGGAATTGAGAACAGGCTCTTAAAGTGTCATCCTCAGGATAATAAAGGGAGCATCAGCGTGAATCAAAAGTTAGACATTCAAGTCAAAGCCTGGACAAGCACCACTCTCAGAAAACAGGTTGTTTATGGATCCTCATTTAATTTGACACTCGATTCAGTGTAATGGTGCAGGCAGGTTTGCTGAGGGAAGATAAAATGTACAGCGAGGGCCGGAGGCGTCGATGAGCTTTCATCACCATCCTGCCTTAAAATCAATAGGAAGCCTTTGATTTTACACAGCAATGCAAAGACATGCAGGTCAATAACAGACAGCCTTAACACATGTGGAACAGCAGCAGTGTGTTTGCTCGACCTTTGGTATGTTACTGATTTTTAGCTAGTGGCATAGTCGGCTCATTGATGTGTCCTCCACTTTGGCTCACACAGATCTCAACAACTATTCAACAGACTGCCACAACATTTTGTACAGAAGTTTATGGGTGAGGCGGACATAGAGAATGACTCGGGTGTTCTCTGACTTTATTTCAAGGAGGTTTACATTTAGTTGTTTGTATAATTTTACCATTGGATAGATTCATTACATGTGTTCATGATCTTTAGATGATTACTCAACTTTAATGTCCCTTTATGTTCCCTAAAGGTGGCCATATTCTGCTTTTTGGGGTTTTCCCTTTCCTGTAGTGTGTCATATAGGTTTGTGTGCATGTAAATGGTCTGCAAAGGCTAAAATTCCAAAGTTCCCTCCGGAGGTAGTTTATCTTTTCAGACAGAGGGGGAAAAGATGTGCTGCAGCACAGGCAGTAGGCTATGATAAAAATAAATACCTTTCTGAACTTTAAAGCAGTAGAGGCACTGAATACTTATATCAACCTGAAAATAAAAATAGGGCCCTTTAACTTAGGTCTCAATCAGATGACTTTGTTCCCTGTGTGAAAAAACACAGGCTTCCCATTCATTTGAATGAGGCAAGTCCAATAGAGCAAAACAAATAAAAAAAATTGAACCTGGCTCAACCACACTGTGATGTCATAGTTCAAAAGGCTGCGGCATGCATTCCTGTTAGATCACGTATGAGTATTTCTGCTTCTAACCTCATCGTAATCAAACATTAAGTAATCCTTGGCTGATAAACTCCTATTGTATTGTAAACTACTGTACGCGGTTTTCAAACAAAGGAAAGTGTCTCCCAAAGCTAACCAGCCTTTTATGGCAGCTAGCATACCTGTGGACTGTGTTCATCTTAAAACTGATAAAGTCAGAACATGTTCAGTTAAATAAATTATTGTTATTTGTAAGAAAAGCAACACTTTGCATGCATTATTCGATTACATGCTGCTCCTACACCCCTGCAGCTGTGCACAGGTGATCCCCCCAACCTCAGCTCTGCAAACATTGCCCAGCGTCTGTGTCACTGCATTACTTTACACACAGCTCATAAAATGATGATTACACACTGCTGAGCCTTATCAGACCGCGGCTGGGTGATGTAATTTGAAGCTGTAACTGAAATGCAAACATACCAAGAGGAACACGTAAAGGTGTGTTTAACCTGTGGTGAAGCAGCTTCCTGTTATCAGAGATAGAGTTTGAGCCAGCTCATTACAAACTGTCTGCTGAGCTCACTGTTTGTACTGCTAACAGGGGATAACTGCAGTTGAGGGTTGATCATTTAATGTCAGTGTTTGGTGTTCCCTCATTGAGCATGTGCTCTGTTGGCTGTGTAAACACAAGGCGCAGCCCTCACACTCCACTTTGTGCAAACATGACAAAGGTGAGGAAACCCGACCTGCATGATGTCATCGTTGCTCACGTTAACTCCAGCTTTATTTGAAATGCTGAGCTGTCATGACTGCTCTGTAAATCATGATAACACCCAGCTTCCTGCTCCCAAAGTATGGCATAATTGTGGGTTATGGAGAAGAAGGGAAGTATGTGTTTGTGTTATACTGTTTACTTAGAGAAACATAATGTCGGCCTCTAAAAAAAGCAGCATAGTTATATGTCTTTGTTTGTTCTGGAAACGAGACACCACAGTGAGATATGTAAAACTACAGTAAACGCCATATAAGCAAGGCTTGGTCAAATTTGTCATGCAAAATGTTCTTTCTCTCGCCATACTAGCAATAATTCTACACTACCAGTTTGAGTAGTAAAACTTGTTTATGATTCTGAGGTTACATTTTCCGTACGGTTTGTGGTTATCATTACTCTTTCAATAAAGTTTAATTAAGCATAATAATCTTGAGAAAACAAGAAACTGACATAATGAGCTGCTTGCACACATTCCAATGTTTATTGGTTATTAAATGCTATACATCAATTTAAGAAATAAATGTTACTCTGACATGTGTCACCAGCAACTCCACCCAATCTGTGTGTGTGTGTGTGTTGAGGAGGGACTGTTAAAGAGCAACTAGTGTACTCTGACAGGAACAATGCAGAGGCTTGTGTGTGCCGGTGATGTGCTAATCTCTCTGACAGCTCAGTGAAGACCCGAGGCAACAGGCGCAGAAAGGTCAAACGATCCTCAGAAACCTGGTGAAAAAAAAAAGCTGCTTAAGAGAGAGCTTTGTGTACTTCAAGAAGCAATTTTACACCACTGTCACAGCGGAATTTAATTCTGTTTGTGTATTCAAGGGCGTGTCATTGTGAGGAAATGTGACCTTTTTAAGGCCCTCGCTACTCAGTAAAGGCAAAGTATGCCTGACTCTCAGGTACTCTATGATGTTGTCTAACTGAGCGTGTCTTATAGCTGCGTGTTTTCATTGCGACAGTTTGATATGTCAGGGCAGGTTTGATATGGCAAAATGATTTTCAAACACTTGTTAGAAAAACACACCTCCTGTGGGAATGTTTCTGAGAGCTGCCAGTTTTTAACAAGAATACAAATCTGCCTCTGGGTCAAAATGCTAATGCTAGCATGGCAGGTCCACAGTATCAATGCAACATGTTTAGCATGCGTAATGTTATCCATGTTCTGAGGCCAACTTTGTCATGATTAAAACATTTGCACCACCTGGTTCCTATTTCTAAATCAACAATTGAGTAGGCTCGATCCCATGTTAGCGGTTTAGCAGGCATCATGGTGTCTCTTTGGACATGCCTTGCCCTTAGGTTTCTGTTTGCTTAAACTCTTGATAGCCAGTGTGCATGAGTCATGATGATACTGGGCTCTGAACTTTATCTCACAGGTTACATCTGAAGGGTCATGAAGTCAACATTTGTCATGCAACAGGACATGTCTTTGTTTTAAATGTTTTATGAATCCAAGAATGGAGTCTTGTTCATGGTCATATCCCTTGAAAATGTACATAGAGGCCTGATTGACATCCTGATAATACAGTCTTTAAACTATGGCGCCATTGACGTGGAAACTTTACACCACTCGCCCACACTCAAGCCAAGCGTGACGCAGTGGCCACATCTGATCTCACATCTGAGAGGCCTGTGCAGACAAGTGTTGTGTAAACCAACCTGCGTCTGCTGCACCCTGGGGAGGCTGCATGATGGTTCAACAGGTGCTGTAGGAAAGCTCCGCTGGGGAGTGCTAGCTGCGTTAGCTAGCAGCAGCTGCAGGTAACTGTTGACCTTAGGGTGAACAGTTGAGCTAATTCTCGCCCCCAGACCTCATTAGACGGTGGGCTTCAAAGGTCTAGCATGAGATTAATTTGGCACCCCCATGCTGTCTGTAAACCGACTTAAGGAAGCATACTTTATGCACAGGACCCCACACACACATACAGTACACATAGGGCTGAGACAGGCCGTGAGCAGCTGTGCAGAGACAGATGGGATGTCATGTTTTAATGGAGAGCTGTGTCTCTCTCCATTCAGGCTTTATTAAGTCTCAGGTGACAACTGAGTCTATTCAAGCAAGTCTATATTATCCTCTGTCTATAAATCTCGCTTCATGTGCATTTAATTTCAACACCTTGTGACTCCCCCCTTTCATAAATGCGACAGTGAATTGCTTTTATCTCCTTATAGAAAATGTATTTGTGTGATGTATGGCAGCTGTGAATATGCTGTACAATAACTCAAGCAGTTAGATGGAGTAACAGCTGCCCTGCACTTCACAATGCTCAATAGGCTTTTAAAAGAGCATTTGTTTCTGAATTTAATTGTGTTTTTAGATTATTTTAAGAAGGAGGAAGATGTCTGCTTTTTGCATACAAGGCACAAGAAAAGTAAAACGCATAGATTGAATCCAAAGGTCACTTTTATTTAATTCAGTGTGAATAAATTCAATACTGTCCCATTGACAGAGCTAGAAATGCATATTTATGGTGATAAAACAGAGAAGAGAAAGAAACTAGAGCACATGCCTAAAGCCTTCAGGAGCTACATGACTTTGTTTTCAGTAAACAGTAAGAGAGCAGGTCCGTTATTAAATCAAACCCTCGAACAGTCAAACCTAGTGAGCCGGCCTTTTGCTTTTCTGTGCACTTAATACTAAAAAATTCAGAATACTTACATAATACCTTTTTATATATCGGCTTTAGCAGCAATATATTTCAGTGAGTAGGACACACCAACAATTCCTCATTTAGTAAAATGTGCACTCCGACGACACACTTCTTAGTTTTAAGGACTTCACTTACACATTTTTTCCGGTTTATACAGACTTCTAGCCATCATCATTTAATAATGTTCTCTTGGACACTTTTGCTAGAACAACAGTGACTTTAGGCTATGTATTTTTGACTTTATGAAATGTTGAATTAGCAACAGCCACAGCCGCATCAGCCTTTCAGGAAAATCAACACGATGAATTGCTGCTTACAGCTAATACAGAAATTAGCTCAATTTAGCTAATCTGCTCATCACCTCGAGGGAGTTTCATGCTCTTTCATCCTCTGATTGTGGTATAACATCAGACTGCTAAAAACGTTGAAAACAGGCTTCTCTGTAGAAATACTTTTGTGTTAATATTGATCAAACAATTCATTTAAATACAGGAAAATACTTCAATCCAGAGCCAGGGAATGTAAGAGAGTTGTTCCTTAAACTATTTTCAACCTCTTTGAGATTAAAATAAGAACTTTTTATGAACTTAACTTGACATGACTGGTTCAGGGAACATATCTTTTTTTAGTCTATGTGCTGTAGGCTTACGTGGATCACAGTGTTTAAAGCTACATTCAATAATGATAATAAGCTCCTTCATGAATATCAGGAAATAAAGCAGTGTGCATATTTTCACCTCTGGAGATTTAAGCACATCCCACTAATCAATTTGAGTTCTGACATGTGTGAGTGTGTATTATGAGAGGACAGTGAGTGTGACGGTTCCTTTGGTCCTCTTCAGGATGCCCACGGCTTCTTCATGAGTGACGCCCTCCAGAGTCTGCCCGTTAACCGCCATTATCTGATCCCCCCGCTTCAGTCGGCCGTCCTCTGCCGCTGCCCCCTTTTAAAACACACATACAAAAGTGAAATACATATTTCTTCCAGTTCTGCAAATATACAAACAGAGCATTGTGTCTTGTACCTTTCCAAACACGGTTTTAACGTAGATGGGCAGGTCTCCATGGGGGCTGCCGTACCCCCCCACTATACTGAAGCCCAGGCCATCAGGTCCTCTCTCCAGATTGATGCTTTTATACTGAGGGGGGCTGAAGCAAACACGGAAAATGTTGTTAAAAAAAAATCCCCTTCTACTTGCAGCTCCATAATTGTTTTCTTCTTTGTATAGTAAACAGCTGATACCCGAGGTCGTCCTGGAAGATGCAGCTGGGAGTAATAGGTGCAGCCGGGGGTTCCGGAGGGGGTCCGGTCACAGAGGTGTCGCCGCCTGCTACCACCTGCAGGTACACCAAAACACACACATTTTCTTATGTTGCAAGATAAAGACTGAAAGTGAGGTGCTAGGGCTCCATCAGGGTGACTTCAGGTACTCTTCTCACAATTGAAAAACCGTGTGTGTGTGTACCTGCAGCTGTATTGTGCCTGTGGCGCTCTTCAGCAGACTGACAGCCTGAGCGTGGGTCATGCCTTCAGCCGAGCTCCCACAGATACTGACGATGCGGTCCCCAATCTGGAATAGAGTTTAGTGCAATTTAAAAAAGACACAAGAGCAAAACACGTTGGAAAGAAAGTTGGCAGCAGAGAAAATGTAAAGAAAGCTGGTCCTATGACTCGTTATAATGTTTTCTGCTAATCGATGAATCAAGAAAAGAATCAGCATATTAATCTACAAAGAAAGTAATCATGAGTTGCAGCCCTTTTATTCCCTTAAAGACAGTATGCATATGTATAAGCAATGTTAAGTATGCAGTAGTCATGTTATCTAGTTTCTATAAATGTATTGTTTCTTGACAAAAGTCTGGATAACTCTCCATGATAGCAGGATGTGGATAATGATTTGAAATGTAATTCACCACGCCGTACGACTGAGTAATTTCATGATGTCGAGTTATCCTCTCTCATTCCCTGTGAAAGGATAAAGCAGCTTTAACATACTATTCAAGATTGGCCTCTTTTACTTCAATGAGCCCTTCAGTAGGCTAACTGATCTGAATGCAGCAGTGGGAGATTTATTACCCGTGTTAGCGCTATGGCTATTGTCCTCCTCTCTGTCACACAGAGCTACAATTGTTTTTCTCCGTCTCTAACTAATAGCTCTTGACCTTTGAAACTGAGTAAAGTGAGTGGGAATGATATGCCCGTACATAATTAATATTCACATTACATCCCACACAAGAATTACTGGCATGCAGATTCTTGGTTCAGTATTCAGAGAGAGGGAGATGAACATGTCGTACTTTGAGCTGCTGAGTCTGAGCAGCCAGGCCCACAGGGTTCATCATGGCGATGAAGATGGGGATATCCCCCAGAGGGCTGCCCACGCCCCCCGCTATACTAACCCCCAGAGAGTCATGGGGCCCCTTAGTGAACTCCACTGTCCTGGTCTCCTGATGCTCTTGAGCTGTGAAGGGAACAAACATGCAAAATGATCAGAAACCTGGGCCACGTTTTTCCTATGTTTCTTCCTGCTTTCTTAATAGTGCAGACGCTTTTCCACATCCCAATTTCTGCAGTTTTCTTTTTTTATATATCTGAGAAACTGAGCAGCGGATCCTGGATAACAATACATGACTTTTTGTAGATATATAGGAGGCTTTTGCCATATTTCTACATGTTTATACCACCTCAATTTGACGTTAGTGTAGCATAATAACAGCTAAAGCCTAGACTGCTGCAGACATGCTACTTAGCTAAAGCTAGTTAGCAGCAAGACGCCTAGCTTCTGCACATATGACTACCACAAACCTTGCATTGCCTTGATTTATTGTCACTTGGAATACTTGGGGCATGATACTTACTGTCTAGACACATGTTTGGTTTGTCGGGGTCAGTAGGGCCATTGTCTGCCTGAGAGACCAACCTGGTGCTGCCATTCTCACTCATCTGAAACAGAGTCATTTAGCGTTGTCACTTTTTGTCAGAGAAAACAATCAAATGTAATTCCTAAAAGATGTGTAGTAACAGTACCTGACTGCTCTGAGAGAGTCTTCTTTCAGAGTGGAAGGGCCCGGCTTTAAACCTCCCCACCTCCATGTTGATGGGCCCCACGCAGCACTGCAACACGAGGAACAGTATTTAGTTCAAACCATACATTTAATTCACCAACCGTGAGTGTGACAGTCGTACCTTGAGCAGTGCAGCCATGGCCTCCTGCGTGCTCGTCCTCACATCCTCCCCGTTGACGGACAGGATCTGATCGCCCTGCATCAGCCGGCCGTCAGTGTCCACCAGCCCCCCCTTCACAATGTCAGACACAAACACTCCGGTGTCGTTCCTGTTAAGAAAGGAACAGCACAGTGAGATAACATTTACTGTAAAAGTCATAATGTACTAGTTGACCTTCATTGTAACATACTGCTGTAGTTTAACATTTCATTAATAATACACTATTGATCCCACAATTTCACATTTTTCCTCTGCACAAATGTAGCTTGCCCTCCAGGGGAGCAGCAGCTAAGGATGGAATATTTAAAAGCAACTGTGACCTCAATAAATATGTTTTCCATCCTGAATCCTGCATATGCTCAGAATAGAACTGAATAGAAAATATCTTGTCTGCTGCTTTGCATGCTCAATGTTTATTTTTGGTTTGCTAGTGCATAATCTGCAGAGCACAATACACAGTAGAACTAAGGTAAAAGAAGAAGCAGCAGGTTAGGTTTAAAACATATTTACAATGGTGTATGCTGAGGTAGCAAGCTAGCTGCAAAAAGTGGCTGTCGTTACTGATTTAGATTTATGGCAACAGATAGATATCTGCCTTTGCACAGGGGACGTCTGAAATGTTGCCACATAAGCATTGGCCTGATGGTGGAGCGTGGTGATTGTACTGCCCAGTTTAACTACTTTAAAAAACGTAAACTGCAGAACAAGCTTGCTGCAGTCAGGCAGAAAAATGGAGATTGTTAATAACCTATATTCTGCCCTTTAGACCTACTGTATGTGTGATTATTTTTTCATTTCACTTGTGCTTATGTCTAATTGTGTTATATTCTGTATTCATAGGCAAAACGAAGCTCTCACTTCAAGTCCGCCCCGCAGGTGGCTGCAAAAAAAAAGAAGCCGCCTGAAAGCCCTGCGCCCAAAAAAGCAAGCAAAGTTAGACTTGTTAAAAAGAAAGCGGTACGTACTATTGTCCCTCATTGTCAATCATTAATATTTACACCATCTCTCTGCGATAAAATATATTGTTTATTTCCATGTGACCACTGGTATTCATATTTATTTTCTGTTTCCTATCAGGCCATCACACTTAATCTGCTCCCGGTGTCTGCCACATGCACGGCTGGATTGGGTGACGCAGAGATCCGCGCTATTAAAATCCGTTTGACCGCAACGGAGGCACAATTGTCCGCCCTGATTCAGGAGCGGGCCTCCGTGAGGTTGGCACTGGAGACTGCAGAGTCAGAGCGGGCCTCCGTGAGGTTGGCACTGGAGACTGCAGAGTCAGAGCGGGCTTCCACGAGGTTGGCACTGGAGACCGCAGAGTCAGAGCGGGCTTCCACACGGTTGGCACTGGAGACTCTTTCTCAAAGACTTTCAAATATTGAAAGAGGGACCCCACCAGCACAGCAGGAACAGCTGGTCACGCAGCTGGACACCAGCCTGTACAAACCCAGGCGAAGACTGTTTGGGTTCCATGTGGGCGAAGCAGACCCACAGCCTCTGGAGCCAGAAGTGACAACCCCCCGTTCACTCCCATACTGGTGTTGGCGGCAACACCATTGCCACCGGTCATTCCAGTGCCAGTGGTCACTCCAGGGTCGGCGGCCACACCTGATGAACCCACCAGGGCAGTTTCCTCAGATCGAGAAGGAACATTTTTATCAGGACAACCCACTAGATTTTCATGAGATATTAACTTGAGTGCAATAACACAAGTGTTTTTGTGCTTGTGCTTGATTGACACCTATTAAAGTCAGCTGTTCGTTGTTGTTATTGCCACCTGCTCATCCCCCCTCAGCAACAACCCCATGCTTCTCCCTCTGTGACCAAATGTGGGTTTTGAGGATCTAATTATCTCCCCAAAAAGTGTTCAAGTGATCAATCTTCAAAACATCCTTTCACAACATTGTTTGTCTGAAGCCAAAGGTCAACATAGTCACACAATATATGCTCACCCTGAGCGCTGACCTCTGGGAAATGCAGATAAATGCAGAGATGGGGCTGCATTATATCGGAAACATTTTTCCCCTGCAATTTATTCCTTTATCAAGCAAATAAATTGTTATTTGCCTTTCTGTCGAGCAGAGACCTGTGTGTGTTTTCCTGAAGCACATCCTCCCTGCAGATCTTGCATATCTGAGGTGCCAATCTCCACGTGGATAAAACTAACCGGAGCAGATCATCCGATCCTCCTCACCACAGACTCCTGGCTGTCACTCCTCACCACTAACTGCTAGCTTGCACTTTCCATTTCAAACCAGAGTTTTATGCTGTCTCTTCCTATGGAGCATTGTTGTTTTTTCCACTTGTGTAGCAAAACTAATGTGAGAGAATGATTTACAACTTCATTTAAATAACCAACGTGGCTTTTCATCCTGCAGCAGCCCAGTAAGCTACTCAATCTCCTATTATTATATAAATAGATTTTATACAAAAATGTGACATACTAACATTTAACACACATTTAACAGTGAATATGAATGTGTAGGTCATTCACTTAGGCCCCAGCCACATGAGGAAGATAACGGTCGTATCTGCTACAGTTCACTATCAGATAGACGGTTCGGCCACACGGGGCCGACATGGAAACGCAGAAAAAGATAACGATAACAGGTCCCAAGGTGGGTAGATCTGCGGACGAAACGCTCTGGGGGGGCAAACGGCTCCGTGTTTACGTGTTTATGGCTACTTAGCATGCAAAATGACGTCATTCTGCATGTTAAGTAGCCATGTGCTTTCGTGTTACCTGAATCTTTATTTATTGATTAGATCACGTTACTCTGATGATAGTGTTCAAGACAGCCTATATGTCTGAACTCGATCCTTAGAGTAATGTGTTACGGAGCCTTCTCTTCAATATTGTTTCCACATAGAGCATTTTGCGCTGCTCTTTTCAAATGTGGAAGCAGAATGTGTGAAAGCATACAGCACGATGCGGGGTGTGTCTCTATAGACATCTTTAGACTGGAATAGCGGGGCCCAGTACGTGAACTCGCCTCGCAGGTGCACACGCCAGGATAGAGGACAAAAGACTCCAGAGAAAACTTGCTCGAGTCCAAGTCAGAGTCCAAGTCAGAGTCCAAGTCATCGTGCGCAAAATTCACGAGTCCAAGTCCGAGTCGCGTCAATCAGTGCGCGAGTCCGAGTCGAGTCACGGAAATCGGAATTCGAGTACTAATAAGTCACTACTCCCCCTCTCCCACATGTGCTTTACCTACAAATATTTATGTGAAAAAAAGAAAAACAAATTTAGTTTGTGTAAGAACTACAACCTGTCCGTCAGACGTGTGTAAAGCTTCCTTCACAGCTCTAAATTGAACTTATTTAAAATGTCTGATGTTAAAAAAGCATCATATCTGTCAGTAGTGTCAGAAATATGATTTAATTTAAAGGTGATTTTTAGCTCCAGTACTTTGCAGCCACAGTTGTTTGTCCTACGAGGTTTGGAGGTCAGTAGTTTGTAAGGTTATGTGTTTGGGAATGCATGCATTTATGTGGTTGCAGCTATTTCAGTTTTGCACTTTTTTCTGCCATCCTTATGTTCACTATGCTACCTCACACACATTGGCTATAGTATCTACATTTAAATATAACAAGACAAACTGTGTCTTGTGTGTGTATGTTATCTCTATTTATCTAGCCCTATACACAATACACACTATCTTAATGTGATTACCTCTCATCCCGTGATCTGCATTAAAAAAGAGAATGTATACAGTTACTGTCAAACTATGTTGACTCTTAGATAACTATTTAATTATGTTTAATATATTTCCATTCCATCATTTCCATTACCTATTTTTTATATTTGTAGTGTATCTGTTTTTATACTCAAGAGACAAGCTCATCATTTTAAAAAGACCAAAATTAGACAATTTCAAGGTTTTATTTGTTCCTTTTTCTTAGTTAATTCTGTTCTAAGCTATGTTTACGTGTATATTAAGGGTTACCAAGATTCCTTGTATGCTAACTTAATAATAATAACAACTGTAATACTGTCCCACTATGCATTAAGTTGTAGTCCTAGTAGCACTAATCGTCCTCACCTCCTCCCCACAATGCTCAGGCCCAGGCCCTGTCCTGGCTGCTTGTGCAGCTCCACACTGAAGGAGTCCCACAGGTCCTCCTCCTTGTACTGCGCCTCGTCCCTGAAGACCACCAGCCGGACCCTCTGGGGGGTCTGCCGCAGGACGTTGATCGCCTCATCGTGACTCGCTACTCGCAGGTCGATGCCGTTCACCTGAGAGGTCAGTGTAAAAGTTAGATATTATCGTGTCTCCAGTAACACAATGTCAGAGTTTTTCCAACTTTTTCAGAAATCCTGACTTTGACAATTGATCAAAGTTATTTTATTTCATGTGATCTAAACATTTCAATGCTGTTCAGTTAAATATATGCTAAAATGAGTCTGTACAAGATTCAAAGATTTAGGAACAACCACAGAAAATGATAAATAATGCATTACATGTAGTTTATTGCATAAAACAAACTGTCTGGGAAAATGTCTTCATTTGAAACAGTCTGCAGAGCAGCAGAGCCCCTTTCATCCCTTTTTATATAAAGTGAATGCAGCAGCAGAGAGCTATAAAAGTCTTAACAGCGTCATTTAATGCTAAAAGAGAATTTTCCTTTGGCCGCTGAGGTCACATTTCTTCAAAACTGCTGAGCTATCTAACTCTGGATCATAATATAAAAATGTTATAACGCTTAGAGGGAAGCTGAGTGGTCAGCGTGAGGATTGATGTCCGGCTCCTCTGCCCACATTAAAGGGGGGAAATACCCCATTAGCTTTTTCCCATCGCAGCGTGCTGTGCGCTGGGGAAAAAGCTCCTTTCACTTTTCCTCTCTGACCCGATCATCTAAACAGAACAGCTTGGCTCCAGGACAGAAATGAAAAGAAGAGGGCAATTAAGTCATAAGGCCTTGAATGTGTGTGTGTGTGTTTGTGTGTGTGCACGCCCTTCATTTCAGGTCTACTGATTGAGCTTCCATAACAAATCTCTTCCCCCGCCCTCCCTCTTTCACAAAGCCTGAGGTCAAACGCAGGGCAAATCCAAGTTGAGCTGCGATACTTAACTCGTCTCTCAGCGTCATACGTTCACAAGGAAGCACAAAACAGCCGGTTAAAAACAGAAATAAGATGGGAAATGATGCCTTTTACTGAAAAAAGACCCTGGAAGTCCTTCAAATTGAGACTTAGTAATGCTAAAACGTTTCTATAGTGTATATTATGTTATATATGTAGAGTCGTATATCGATGAATTTCTCACACTAAACCAAGCATTTATTCGAAAGCTCCTTCAGTTATTGACATGTGTTCAGCCTCATTTTTATCGAGCTCATTTGTGATACTCATTATACCTCCAGGATTTGGTCTCCTGCCCAGAGTCTGCCATCTTTAGAAGCAGCTCCTTCTTCATACACTTCATGGATAATGATGGCCCCCTGCAGTGAGAGGAAGAGAGCAGAAAGAAAATGAGAGCAGTAGTGATTTAACTGGAGGAAAGGAGAGGGATACAGGACAGTAGGTAGTGCGAGGAAATATAAAGCAGTTGCATAAGGTCCATCTATGTAGCGAGGATAATTTTAGACTTATTTTGGTTTCTGTTTTCTAAGTGTGAGTGTCATTTGGGGTTCAGAGGTTACATTCCTGGGCTGGATATTGTCTGCTGCGGACAAAGAGCTGCTCCACCAAGCCTGACTGAGCAGACAGAATAGATGTGCCGAGGAGGAGGAGGAGGAGGAGCAGGAGGAGCAGCAGGAGGAAGGCTGGGACAACATCATTTCCTACATTCCTGAGCCACCGCGGCTATTTTGAACCTGCGTTACACCACCAGCACACATTCTCACTGGGTGGCATGTTTTGGTGGGGACTTAAAGTACAGTCATGGTACTTATTTTTTTAGGATTTACAGTATCTTTTGGAAATGATTCTCCTGGTTAGGATTCATTCAGTGTGGATGGTTCAGGAGATGTTTAGTGTCTCTTCTCCTCTGATATAAAGTGGTCAAACAGTGAATACATTTTCAGTTTGAGGTTAAAATTCTGAGTTTCTGTAAATAGGCATGAGTCATTGCAAGCGAATTTATACATTTTGTGCAACTAACTTTATAAAAAGCCTACTACTACATGTGTGATGCCATAAGGTTTAGTTGTTTTTAGACATTCAATTGCAGAATTATCCACAGAGGATTAACAATGCATTTTCACATTTAACACTAGAACCGCCAACGGGGTCAATTTGACCCCGAGCTGTTTTATATTTGATGTAACTTTTTTTCAATAAAATATTAAAGTCTCCCAGTCCGTGACTTTTCCTGAAAGTGTGTTATGTACCACCCTCTGTTGTTAAAAATTGTCAATATGAAGTCAGATTGAAGAAATCACCCAAAAAATTGCCATTTATACCTATTTCCGCCAAGCGGGTCATATTGACCCCACCCCTTTTCATATAAACATGACGTGTTGCTATAGCAACGCCTTTTGTCTACTGCGGTTCCTCCTTATAGATTGAGAGATAGATTGAGAGAGAGAGAGATAGATGGATAGATAGATGGATAGATAGATGGATAGATATATTGAGAGAGAGAGAGAGAGAGAGAGAGAGAGAGAGAGAGAGAGATACGAGAGAGAGAGAGAGGAGAGAGAGAGACAGGAGAGAGAGAGAGAGAGACAGGTGAGAGACAGATGAGAGAGAGAGAGAGGAGAGAGAGAGAGGAGAGAGAGAGAGAGGAGAGAGAGAGAGAGAGGAGAGAGAGAGAGAGGAGAGAGAGAGAGAAAAAAAAGTTGTGAAGGAGACTGCTCGCACTGCGCTCCGCAGCAAACAGCTGTGGGGCGAGTTGAAAGTACGTTATGCTGGCCGGGGTGTCTAAATAATGCTTCCGGGCCAGCGGGCCATTTATAATGTCGAGCCCTGTCATATGAAAAGCTGAGAGTCCACAGATTATATTGGTATACGTTTCATCCCTGTGCGATCAAAACTCTCTGTTCAATAAAAGAACATTTTACCTTGAAAATCAATGCATTCTAATAGCGGGTCAATTTGACCCAGGTGGAGGTTTTAGGTATAAAAAATCTCTGGCGGTTCTAGTGTTAAAATAGGCTTAAAATCGGATTTAAAAAAGTGCATTTTGGACAACTTCCTGCTGACAAATGCTCAAAAGAGATACAATGATTTTACAGCAGACCAGAGGAAACCTTTAAATTACACATTTATAGTGCTTTGAACATTTTTGAAAACATTTCGGGTAAGGTAAATATACAATCTAACAAAATGATATGACGGGAAAATGCAGAAATTCTAAATAATATACAGATTGTCATTGATATTGTCCTACCAGCAGGGTGTCGCAGCCCCCCACGATGCTGAGGCCGAGGCCGGTGCGGCCCTTGAAGATGTCGATGGTCGTCTCGCAGCCGGGGATGATGGGACACGTCGTGGGGTCACAGGTCAGCGTGGTGGGGGTGGAGGAGCGACTCAAACCTGCAGCAGAGGAAGAACAAAGTGAGCTGATTGATCCTTTATTTATCTCCGTGAATAAGAAGTCAAACGTCTAAAAAGGGGACCCACTCATCACTGCCTCTGCCTCTGGTTGACTCAGAGTCGTTGCTGCAATGCTATGCATGCTTGGAAAGCCTGGGAGGATGCCATCGGAGCAATCCCCATCCTCACTGGTGGACGGGAGAGACGAGAAGGTGAGCTTCACTGGACCTTTGGATGTCCTCAGGAGAGAGTTCACCTAAAACAGAGAATACATCATTAGACATCATCTTTCCTTCTGACATAAGAAAACTCACAGGGAATACTTTATTTACCTGTTCCACAGTGTAGCCGAGCACTGATTCCCCGTTCACAGTTAGGAGTTTGTCCCCTGGTCTCATACAGCCCTCCTGCACATCACAGTTTAGATCAGTAATCACTTTTGTAACACACACTCATCATCAGCTGCAGGATGTGAGACTTACCTTTCCTGTGTGTCCTCTCACTTCAGATATACTCTGAATCTCCACTCCATTCTCTGTGTTTCCCTCCACGAAGGTGATGCCCAGTCCTCCGTCCTGCTGTTGGACAAACACAGCATTGAGTACACATAGCATCAGAGTCCTGCACAGGTCTGATTTTCAAGACCCGCTCCCGCCCCGCACCCGCGACGTGCAATACCGAACCCGCCCCGCCACCCGCACATATTGCCAATTAGTTCCGCAAACCGACCCGACCCGTCGGCACAAGATCCGCAAACCGACCCGAACCCGCGTATCCTTTATGAGCAGTGAAAACGTGCAATTATTAACACACGCAGTTGCATATTTGTCTCAAAAAGCGTGGGATGTTGGTTATTTTCTCCATCTAGGATGACACCAAAAGCCTCCCAGACGTTGGATTTCGCTCTTGAGGAAGTGTTATTGAAAATGCTGTATTCTCCGAGCTCCGCTTTCACCTCAGCCATTTTGAATGTGGCGCGCTCAGCAGCAGATTGATGCGCTGCAGAGGTTATGATTATGCGCGGTCCCACAGGGGAGAGGTCTGAGGATTTAAACATTAAACTAAATTATTATTATTTTAATATATTTATTATGCAACACCCGCGACCCGACCCGCATCATCTTTGTTTTACCCAGAACCGAACCCGGAAAAAAGCGTTTGAAAAAATACCACCCGCGAATCACTTTTTTTGCGGGTCACCCGTCTGGTACCCGACCCGATGAAGGACTCTGCATAGCATACAGACCGACACATGGGAAATAATGAAGCTGCAGAAAGCAAGCATTAATGATGATAATTCTCTCCAGAAAGATAAGGAGCTGCCCCGATTCTGCCACATTTTCACTGTTAGCTCCTGCGGCTTTACACACACCGCATGGGGTCTTTTTTACTCATTCTTTTTAAACGGTTAGTTCACTGGAATCACAATAATTTAGTTTCCCAAATGAGTCCGATTCTGAGGCTTCTGCTGTATGATATATGTAAGAATAGGTATATAAATAACTGAAAATACTCGGCATACGGAACTATTTTCTTTGCTTAACGTTTTTTTCAAATGTGAAGTTTTTCAATGCTTGATACTGAAAACCTTAGCAAATATAACTGAACATATCTGCAGGGCAAGAACGTAGACACCACAAGAGGTAGCAATGTTTTTCTCTTTTGGGTGAACTGAGCGTTTATGACCCTTTGGAACTGCTTTTTCTTTTTATTCCGTCTCTTTTCTGTTTCCTGGCCGTTAGTCAGAGTCCACCGCTCTCGTTCTGTCATACCCCGTTGACTGTTTTTGTGTACACCTCCCTCATTATGGCCAGACTTCCTGTCTATTATGGTCTTTATTTTTGTGTTTCCAAAGAGCAGTCTGTCCCGTGTGAAGTGTCTCACCTTCAGCTTTATGGCGTGATGAATATATTTTGAAGTGTCTCCGTTAGCAGCAGTAGTTTCTGGCTGTGAGGAAACAGCAGCAGTTAGTTAATGCAGTTTGAGTTAGTGTACGTGTGTGTTGGCTGCTGAGTGTGTTTGTGGTTTTGGTGGTCACACAGGAACTGCAGGACCACACAAAGAGACTTTTAGGAGCAAACATGCATGAAAACAATTTAGGAGCGTGCTGCAGCGTAAAAACTAAATTACACAGGAGCAGGGGTGGAACATAACTCGGTACATTTACTCAAGTTTAGTCCATTTTTGACTTACTGTTATGCTACTTTATTCTGCTACTCTTCTACATCTCAGGGGAAATATTGTACTTTTTACTTACTATGTAGTTACTTGTGACACATTAGATGAAGTACTATACTACTAAAAAGTAATGTTGGCTCCGTGTAGTGAAAAATTAACTACTCTTAATGTATTTGTTAGTTAAACCAACACAATAATATAACTTTCAAAGGATTCATTTTGTTATCGCAAAATCCAAGTTGATGTCTTTAAAGACCCAAAGATATCCACTTTAAATGAAAATAATGAAATAGGCCTATACATATTTGAGAAAGCGGAAATATTTGTTATAGAACAAATTATACTTTCAATAATTACGTGGTTAAAAAATTATGTATTATCCAGCATTATCCATACATTTACTAAAGTAACATTTTAAATGCAGGACTTTAACTTGTAAATTACTATTTTAGATTCTCGTATATGTACTTTTACTGAAGTAACGTATCTGTGTATGTCTTCCACAGCTGCATGTGGGTAAAGTAGAAGCACTAATACAAGTGTGTGAGTTATATGCAGACAGAGCTTTAGCATCTGCATCATGTGTGATTGTTGTTTTTGTGGGGCCATGTTGTGGGTGGTACCTCAGTGGGGGGGTCCTCAGGGTCTCTCCCCTCCATGTCTCCCCCCTCCTGCTCTCTCACCGGTCCCACAGCCATCTGCTGCAGCGCCTCCGTGTTCCTGCTCCAGAGAGAGGGAGTCATAACTCTTAAATAAACGCTGCTCTTCCATGAGTTACACGTCTGATCACAGTGTTTCTCTCCGGGTCAGCGCAGGGATGAGAATTAAGTAGGAGGTTAAGTAGTGTGATTCTGGAGAGGACTGTTTGAGGAGGGGTCAAAGGTCAACATGTCTGACTCTGTGCTGATGTGTAGACTGCTCACTGATCTGTTTACACAATCATAGTTATAGTGTGCCATTTTCTTAAGTAAAAAACAAAGAAATGATACGATACTTCAATAAACTGCAACTTCCAAATGCCCAGTTACAGTAATAAAGAAAAAAATGATGTATCTATTGTTTTCTAAATATGTTTTTTGTTTTATTCGTTTTGGCTATGAAGATAGCATTGCATTGTGGGAGAAAAGTACACATAAACAGCACACGTTTTTCTTTAGTGTCCCTTTGTCATACTTAATTGTTTTACTTTACATACACAAAACCTTTTAGATGCAGCTATAGTGGTGGGTAAAGCCCAGTTTTAATATTCAAATTGAACTACAATTTGTATTTTTAACAATACATTTTGCTTTTATGAGGAAGAATGTGTTACTTTATTTATATTCTGACTCTCCGCCTTCAACTGTGTGCTTCTGTTGAATCGCAACAGCTCCCTCTGTTGTATTTTGAACAACATTACAACAGATTTGAACTTTTTTAGGTCAGATTTGATCATGAACAGTCTGACAATGAAATATAGGTGCCATGAAAGTGTGCTCATAGTAAATGTTTTACCTGACAAAGATGATTTTGACTCTGGAAGGAGCGCTCTTGATGATGGAGGAGGCGTTCTGGTGACTGTGTCCGTAGAGGACTTGCCCGTTGATCTGACCGGACACACAAATATATCATTAATGAATTATTCCTCTACGTATTGAAACATCCTGACATTTCTTTCCCAAACCCCCTTACCTCCAGCAGCTCGTCCCCCACCACCATGCGTCCATCCCTGCCCGCCGCCCCGTTGGGGTCGATGCCCACCACGAACACACTCATGCGGGAGCGGTCCCTGTTCCCGGCCAGGCTGAGACCCAGGCCCGTCCTCCCCTTCTCCAGCTCCATCATGTGCAGGACCCCCGGGAGGCCGCCGTAACGCTGGGAGACGTTCTCTGGAAAAGGTGAAGACAGAAAGATGTAAACTGATGTACAGAGATGGCAAAAGTACACACATCCTTTACTCAAGTAGAAGTACAGATACTCGTGTTTAAAAATACTCTGGTGAAAGTAGTGACTAAACTTCTTTACTCAAGAAAAGTAGGCTTCGAAATGTACTTAAGTAAAAAGTACCCATAACTACCAGCTGTTTTAAAGAGTACCTGACCTCCCTTTATATTAATAGAACAATAATGTCATTGTTAGCTAATGAATGTTTCCATGCTGAACAACGGCAACATGACAACGTTCTCATTGGTCCCTCTTCTTTAGAGAAGACCAGGAAATGATGGATACACGGATCGTGTTCAAATCAATAGGCACGCAATGACTCTAAATAATACCTGTTTGAAAATGTAAGAAGTAGAAAGTACAGGTATTTGTGTTAAACATTTAAGAAGTAAAAGTAAAAAGTTGGCAGAAAAATAAGTAGTGGAGTAAAGTACTGATAGCAGAACAAATGTACTTAAGTACAGTGACAAAGTATTTGTACTCCACTACTTCCCACCTCTGCTGATGTATATTTTGTTCATTTTCTGTCGTGTTGCTCAAAAGAATGGGCATTTTTTTGGAATTGGAAAGACCCCAGGCATCAAAAGATTTACATATCAGGCTGCTGAGTTTTATCTCTTTGTCTAAAACTTGTTTGCAAAGTTTTCGATCTATTCCATCCTCTCCTGTCTCTCTCCCCCTCTCCCGTCAGACAGACCGATGTTCTCCTGTTGTTCTGGGCTTCCTGCCACTGTTGGGCCATCAGTCCTGCACTAATCTCCACAACTCACCTCCCTGGGCCCAACCTCATCAATCTTATCCCCACAGGACGGGAACACTCTCACACACATGCACACAATCTCTCTCACACAGAGTCCCAGGTGTGTGCAGCAGGAAGTCCGGTCTCCTGAGTTGAATGTGTCTGACTGTGTGACCCGTTCTCCTTGAAGCGGTGACTTCGTGCTGCAGTTTGACATTCAGCAGTCTGCCGGATGCTAAGAGTTTCATTTTACTGAAGTTACAGCCACATAAAGACCGTGAATGTGTGCTCTTCTTCTTGCAGATGGATTTATGAACATGAGAGAAACTAAAAGTGCCTTTCAGGACCTCTAGTGGCAGAGAGGTGATAAAGCATGTTGCTTCTGTCAATGCATATCCTGTCTGTATTCCTTAACTATACTATTCAAATGAAACTTCCAGGGGTTTATAATGCTATCCCGCACATTTCTCCCAAGTCACATTCACTTAAACTAGGATTGAATTGATAGGCCAGAGTGGATTTAAAGCGACACACACTATCCTTTTCACCTGTTGTGTCTCCCCTTAAATGACAAGAAAAACCTGAACTCTTGTTTCTAACACAGTATATAATTGCACATTTAAATAAAAGACAAAGTAGACTCACTCCAGTTGTATCCAAACTCATCCTCCTCTTCCTCTTCCTCTTGCTGCTCCACCCTCTGCTCCTCCTCCTCCTCCTCCTCCTCTTCCTCTGCAGGTCCTCCAGGACTCTCCGTCAGTGTGTCGGTGTCAGTCTCCCCCACATGGGGCATCACCGGCAGGGGGAGGACGGCGCTGGTGGGAGGTGCCTTCACCGCTTCACGCTTCACAGACTGTCACGCCACAGGAGGAGTTGGAAAACAGTTTATTAGTGAGAGGTGAGGAGGAAGAAGAGGGTTTTTTATAGTGAAGTTTGAATCATGTTGAGATGAAGATGTGATAATGCAAATGCTTGGTTTACTGCTTCATCCCTTTTATGTTAGGCTGAGAAATAATAGTGTAATATAGATGCTTAAGGCTAGAATTAGGTTAATTAGAATATAGCTTAATTTATAATATGATGCTTATATTTAAGTATATGTATATAACTGATGTATTGCATATAATTAAACAATAATCACTCATCATGACACTTACCTGAAAACCAGGGGAAATAAATCACATTTAGATCACTTTAACTGTTGTTTAAATTGGTTTACAACAAGATGATGTGCAAAAATATCTCGAATGTGTCTTTGTCATCCGCTTAAGTGAGTCAATATTTTTGAAAGTGAGAAAGAAAAGACAAACGGGACAAAACATTTTGATTTCACAAAAATGGACAAAGGAAAAGAGACAGATGGAGGAGATGTTAGGACATGAACAAGTGTATGAATGTACAGCATGTTCAAATATATTCAAAACATGAACTGTATTAGAGCCGCAAAGACTAGTCGATCAACAAAATAATAATAATGATTATGGATTAATTATGCAAAAATGTCAGAAAAAAAAAATATTTTAAATAAAACAGAATATCTTACGGTTCTGGGGTGAACAAACAAGACATTTGAAGACATCACCTTTGACTCACATTTATTTTTTTAAATGTCTGACATTTTACGGACCAAATCATTATTATAGAGAAAAATCTGCTGATTAATTGATAATTAAAGTGATGCTTAGTTGCAGCCCTGAACTGTATCATGGTGTATTTACATTGCTGTACATCATACACAGAGTGAGGAAGGGGAGAGCTCAACACAGAGACCCACAAACCTTAAATGGGGTAGGAGTGAAAGGGTTAGTTGGGGAGAGGCGGAGGAAAAGTCTACTGTGACTGTAAGCCTCCTACGGAGAAAGACAAAGGGTAAGAACTTTAGACGACAACACACAAACCTACATCTATCGACAGAAAGGTGAAACACAGCTACTCCAAACTTTTAAAGCTACCTTTTTGTACATTGAGCAACACTATCTGAGCTGTGGAACAATGGCAAACACTCAGCGGAGGTTAACTGAAACACCCACCTTGTCCTTGTTGCCTTTCGTCACAGCTGCAGCTCTGTCCTCTCCGGAGTCTGCTCCCGAAGACTGCCACGCATCACACACACACACACACATGAAGGTAAACACTCACACATTCATTTGAATGGAGAAAACTGTCATAACATTCACTTCTGCATCACCACACTGTGAAAGATCCTGTATCATAGGGCTGCACGATATAAGACAAAAAGAATTGACAGTACTACATTTGTTTTCTTGCTATATTAAAACTACAGAGATTTTTTTTGTCAATATTATCCATTTTATCTTAATTTTTTTGACCAAATCTTCCTCTGTTGAATGAAATCTTGGACCATTACTTCTTTGAGTTCATTGGCCTTACTTGACTTTGCATGTTCTGCAATGGGACTATTGTGCATGTGTACATGGCAAAGATGATGATGAATTGATATATTACCGACCCTATATGCCCTACTGTATCACATTTTAATCATATTAATATTAATCAGTTCATACAAAGTGTTCTGAATGACCATATGCTGCATCATGAAAAACCATCTGTTTATATTGGGGCTACTGAAGAAAAACAGACATTTCTTAGACAACAGCCAAACATTGATGTGTTGAGTGGAGAAGCTTCTGCAGCAGCATCACATGTCGGTCCAATCGTGACCCTTTATCCTCACTGATGGAGCTTAAAAGGTTTTGCAAGAAAGTCTGGCGTTTTGAAAAAAAAATACTGCAGTTTACAGTTCTTCACATAATTGTGTTTGTGTTGAGTGCTGCCTGTCTTATCAAGTTGTCTCCTTTGCATCGGCAGTGAGACACTTGGGACAATGTTTGAGGGATAATTGTTAGAAAGTGGGCATTGGAAGCTGAGGACAGGAGGAAAGATAAAATGCACTTATAGTAAAAGCCTGTGCTATGATTTAACTGTGTGCTGCAACAAAAGGGCTGCAGCAGAGGAAGAGAGGCAACATGTGCTCGGAGGAGAGAATAAAATCACATTTCAGTAGAAAAGTGCACTTTAAAATGAAAGTATCATTCTTTTTTTTATTGGTGCTGTTCAAATTTGAAATGTATCCCAAGTAATATAGTTATTGCAACATTCAAAGATATTGCATATTTTTCTCATATCGTGCAGCCCTAGTAAACCTGCATTCCAAATAATTTGTAATGTTTAACCCAGGACTCAGCACAAACGCATGCATGCTCTGCTTCATTGTCCTCATGCAGCGCATAGTTAACACACAGTGTAAAGCAGTACAGGGGACACACATAAGCAGACAGACAGACATGGGGAGGGGGCTTCTAACCTGAGGGGGGGCAGGGGCTAAGCAGGTTTGGTTAGTGCAGCAAGCACTCAACCCGCGGTGGCTACTGAGCTGCAGAAAGGGCAGCAGCGGCCTCTAAAAGCAACACACAGGACCAACAAGCTGACAACATGACGGATATTTAACATGAAGGCTGAGCTTTTCTGACAAAATTGAATCAGAGGCCATCCAGGAGGAAGGAAAAGGCGAGTTTGTGGGGAACCTCAGGTTTTATTTAAATGAGTCACCATTAAAGCAAGCTACTTCCTTCAGGACAGCCATTCCTCTACATCAAAACGAAAATCACAGCAAAGCCTCTTTCTCTGAAATACTTTAACCGAATGTTTGAAAGACTTCTCGAGGCTACCCTGAGATTATTCACTGCTTACAAGAGAAGGATTTAAAACTTAAAGGCAGACAGCATGGATATGCTTTATTCTCTGCAGGTGGCTGCATTTAAAAAACGGCATTATGGCCTGCCTACAGCACTTAGAGGTATCGCCCAATCAATATAATATTTCTCACACTGTTCAGTCCATTGTGATGAATTTCAATGGAGCTGCAACTCAATATCAGTGACTTTAAAGTAAATTGAAAGTCTTGCAGTCTTGAGCACATTTTGACAGCCGCAGAGCCACACAGTAGGAATGATTTCTTTATTTGCTTTTCTATTGCTTACTTGAGGAGTTTCTTGATAAGGGGACATTTCAATAACCCCCATGGGGAAATTGCATTAGGATTCTAGTCTGAATGTCAGCATTACACACAGGTTTTGACTTTCTATTGTGCTGTGACACAATATATTTCCCCCCCTTTTGATTAAAAACAGCATTGTGGGTTATCTCATTGTTACCATTAGATTACCCTGTGATAGAAAACAGAATAGGATGTCTGGATATTAAAATAAAAGCCCTGCTTCTTTTTCTCCCGGAAGGAAACTCCAATTCTTAGTCTGTCTTTATTTCTGTCAAAACACACATCGAGTCAAATATGCAGTTCGAGAGAACATTTGCTAACAGTGTGGAGGCAGAAGGGATGAAGATGAAGTGTGATGGAGAGGAAGGATTACCTGACATGTGCGATGTGGCATGCAAGCTGGGTTATATACTGACACAGGCTGAGAAAGCAGGGCGGAGGGACATAAATGCAACTCATAATGTAGTCAAACATGATATGTGAACTATTGACAAAAGGTTTTAACGTCTTTAAAGTAATTAATCCCCATATGGGTGGCTACAGCAGGCAGAAGGTTAGCTTGACCCAGCATACAGAATGGAACCAGAAAATGGCTAACGTTAGCCTAAAGATCACAAAACTTGATGTAATTTAGAGTAGTCAAAACTAAGTGATTTTACCTAAATGTTAAACCAATGTTTTAAGGTTTACTCTTTGTACTGTTGGAGGCTAACTTTATTTAAAGTTGTGTTCATTAAACGTCATCCCACGTAGCATTTGCTGCTTTAATTAGCATTTAGCTTAGTGCCTTAACGTTAGCAGGTTTATTGTAGCAGCTTTAGCTTAGCGGAGGTAATGTGGACTCAGTTACTTTATAGCCCAATGTTAGCTCTTCACTTTAAAAGTAAAAAAATGCTAATCCGATGTGTGCACAAATGTGTGGGAACCAGGGTTGCCAACTTTGGGTACCTGGCTGGAGTGAGATTTTGATATCATGGGTTTAATTCGGTTTAATTGCACTTATGCACACGAAATGACTGCTATCGTGTCAGCAGCGGGACCTTAGCATATATATATAGGATATATATACAATATATACAAATACACAATAATGGACACAGACTATAAAGGGCACACAGTTTCATTCACTAATGAAAGTCAAACATGTTTGTTTCCACTGTTTTATTGTGTGCCTGTTGCGATAAACAATTAATTGACTTATCGTACGATAAATAAAAATGAACTCGATAACTAATAATTATCGTGAGTGGCCTATACATGAAACACACACACACAAACAAATCTACAGACTTACTCCAAACTGCCAAATATATTAATTAACACACTCTCACTCTCATATACTCTTTGTCTCTATTTTGGCATAGTAGAACAATAAGCAGCAGACTTTTACTTTTTTATCATTTCTACTGGATCTTAGATCTGCGCATGCGCAATACGGGTCCGCAGTTGCGGCTCCAGAGTATTTGTGTTGGGTAATCTATGGTAGGGCTAACCCATACAGTGGTGGGGCTCAAGTCAGTATTTGCAATGTAATTACATACACGCTCCCCCCGATAGTGAAACGCCACGCGTGAGGTTTAGATTATTTCCCTGTCTCTCTCAATCCAAATTGAACTGTATGAAATAAAAAGGCACATTTGTCTTGTAGTAAATAAAAAGGGCGACCTGGAGCCAATCCTGCAATTTCCCCACAGGTGAAAGAGTTGACATGCTGAAGACCCAACCCCTGCAGGGGGGTCTGGGGGGATTCTTTTTTAAATACTAACATAAAATACACATTCTGGTACTCTCTTGAGAAGAAAAATAAATAAATCTATTACTACACGACATATTTAAACAAATTAATTAATTTTAGTTTTGTGTGACTTTGTTCTGAAAGCTGAACCTGCTGCTCCTCACAGAGAGAAGAGGGAAGAGGCTGTGAATTACTTTACATTGTGGATAAGGGTGGATAGCCCCCATTGTTCTGTGTGTCCAAATGAAAGACAGCCCACACACCTATCAATCATCAAACCGTGGGGTCTTATTTCATTACGTGTAGATTTCTATCAACACGTAATGTTGTATCGATGTATAGAGATGTACTACCGCAAAAGTATTCTCCGTCGGGACTTCCTGCAACAACACCACGCCGTTATCGTGATTCTGATTGGCCAGAAGACATTATCAAAGATGTTCTATTGAGAAGACGATCACTACGTGACAAAAGTTTTCAAAACCGTTTCTTGTCTTCGTATTCTTGTTTTTGGCGTGAGAATAGTTTGGGCAGCGTGAGAGCGTGAGATTGAGAGTGAAAGCGTGTGTCACACGCCAGATGCGTGAGAGTTGGCAACCCTGGTGGGAACCCAGGGTTGCCAACTTTGGGTACCTGGCTGGAGTGAGATTTTGATATCATGGGTTCGGTTTAATTACACATATGCGCACGAAATGACTGCTATCGTGTCAGCAGCGGGACCTTAGCATATAGGATATATATACAATATATACAAATACACAATAATGGACACAGACTATAAAGGGCACACAGTTTCATTCACTAATGAAAGTCAAACATGTTTGTTTCCACTGTTTTATTGTGTGCCTGTCACGATAAGCAATTAATTGACTTATCGTACGATAAATAAAAATGAACTCGATAACTTTTCTGACCTCGATAAATTGCCATTTACATGAGGATGTGACTAGCAGTTTGAAAGGATGTACTTGAATTATTATTATATATTATCATTATGTCAGTGGTCTAAAATGGTCATACAACGGTGCCGACAATATTATCGTTTATCGCAATAATTTCCGGGAAAATGTATCCAACAAAATTAATTATCGTGAGAGGCCTATACATGAAACACACACACACAAACAAATCTACAGACTTACTCCAAACTGCCAAATATATTAATTAACACACTCTCACTCTCATATACTCTTTGACTCTATTTTGGCCTAGTAGAACAATAAGCAGCAGACTTTTACTTTTTTATCATTTCTACTGGATCTTAGATCTGCGCATGCGCAATACGGGTCGGCATTTGCGGCTCCAGAGTATTTTTGTTGGGTAATCTGATCTGTGAGATTGAGAGTGAAAGCGTGTGTCACACACCAGATGCGTGAGAGTTGGCAACCCTGGGGAACCATGGAGATGCTAACTTCAGGGTAGTACCATAAAATGTCCTCCCTGCAGCTCTCTATTCACTCTCCGTGTTCCTCTTTTATTGGTCTTCACCAGCTCCAAAGGGAAATATCATCTGGCTGCTAAGTGAAGCTAATAGCTGCTAAACACTCCACTGTTGTTGTCTGACTGCTGTTTAGTGCCTAACCCTATTTAGCATACAGCGGGTTGTAAAGCTTTTTCCCTCAAATCTGTTTAAAGTCACTGTAGTGGAGTTTAGTTCTCCATTAACATGAATTCTTGCTCTGCATGTGTTACATTACATTATGAGTTGCTACAAGGCTTAATAAGTAGCCATGCTAAGGAAAGCGTTATATCTGAATGCAAGCGATTGACTCTGAGAGATCTGACACCAGCTGCAGAGACTAGCCTGAGGGCACTTTCAAACAACAAAGGAGTAGCAGTTAGAGGTTAAAAACTTGCTAATTTATTTAACATGACACAGAGGGTTTGTTGTTGCTCTCATTGGATATTTCAAAAATCAAACCTGACACACCGGGTTTTTGAAAGGGCCCTGTGCAGATGAACTGCTACATGAGGTGAAAATGGAAAAGGATAATGACCTTTAGAGAATGAGGTAGTTAGTTTGACTATTATTTGGACTCACCCGGGGCCTGTGGATGATACTCTGTACCAAGAAGGTGACGGGGTTTCCTCCCTTGCGGATAGCCTCCACTGCCTCCTCGTGACTGGCATCTCTTAGATCTACTCCATCCACCTGTCACAGAAAATATTGGGGAATCCTTACTTTTTTAAAGATTTTAAACTCTTTTCAGTTCTCTCACATTACTGCACCTTAATAAAATAACACTATAGGAGGTAACTACACAAAATAACAACTTCACGTCTGCTTGTTCTACCACCTGTATTGTTCCCTTACCTCTACGATCCTGTCTCCAGTCTTCAGGGTCCCGTTCTGTCCCGCAGGACTGTCCTCCAGGATGTGTTTAATGAAGATGCCCCTCATCACCTCTCCGTTGCTCAGCCGACTGCCCATCCCCCGGCCCCCGACAATACTGATACCCAGAGACTTGCCTGGCGCCCGGAAGAGCTCCACTCTGAGGAAAGGTACACATGCATTTTTATTTGTACACTTCTTAAATGTGACTCTTCTACTGATATGTCACTGTAAACGTTATACCCTTTATTTTGTCTATAATAACATCACTTTGATTCTTTGATGCATATGACAAATGTCATCATTGTAGTTAACTCATATGAACACTGCTATTTTGTATTCTTTATGATTTAGTTTGACAGACTATTCACCATATTTAAACTCAATATTCTTTCTGGAATACAGTTTGGTCTCTGTAGGCTTTTCTTTAACCAGAAAAAAACAGGAGTCTTTGAGGTAGCCGCAAGAGAACTGAATCTGACAAAAACCTGTTAATATTTATACTCAATGTTGGGGGGAAATGGTCATTTAATAAATCCCACGTAGTTCAAGCAGCAATGCATTGAGTGTATTCAATATGTGGATCCACTGTGTTAGTTTTCAAAACCATATCTCTCCTTGAAATGTTCAAAATATTATTAGATTAAATACAGTGTGTACTCACTTCCTGGGTTGGTTCCAATTGTTGTAAGAGGCACTCTCCTCTCCCTCTCCATCTTCCCGCTCAGGGAGGTTAGGAATATCTCTAAAAATACCAAGGTGAACACAAACAGTAAGGTACAAAACATAAATTCACATTATTGACAGGGGCTTATGAAAGCTCTAGGGACCAAAGACTGATCGGCAGTTGGTGGCGTAAACACAAAGAGTTCATTGATGAGCAAAATGTAAACTGACAGGAAGACTGCTGCCTAGCAAACAGGGCACCTATAAATGTAACTGGCACGTCACACAAGTCGTTGTGCACAGAATGAGTACATACTTCGGATCTGGAGCTGGGACTGCATGGATTTCATCGGAGACTTCCTCTGTAGTCTGCTCTAGGCTGGCCTTGTACTCCTCCAGATACTCTGCAGGTACATATGTGATTCTAAACACACACACACACACACACACAGACATGAACACAAACACAAGCACACACAAATGAGTCAGACATTTCCTAAAGCAAATGTCTTCACCCTCCATTAACCTTCTTAGTGGCACTTATCCCCCTTATCACTATCAACTCACATTTCACCAAAAATAGAGAATAACTGGCGAGAGTTTTCTCATTGAGCTAAAGAGCTTTTTTCCAATTTTTTATTCATATTCAGAGACTTCTTTCTCTCGCCCCATAAGCCCCAGAGAGCACTAACACTGATCCGACTGTTGAACACAGATGTTTACCTTCATAAAGTCTGAGACATCACGTCTTCTGTCACCTACTGTGTGAGACAAATCTGCAGGGTGTAGCCATCATTAATTCATGAGCCGCTTACTAATTCATGTTAAGAAATGAACCAAAAGCTAGCTGACAAAATCTGACACCCACTTAGAGTTCTTCTTCCAAACAATTCAGAGCGAAGTTGATGCTGAAGGGCACATTAACACATTTAAAGGACGCTGACAGATCGTCAACAGATGGGCTGATCTGCTTTTTAAACATGATGCACGCAGACAGAGAGAAAGATGATTCCCAGTGAAAGATGAAATGGAGGTTGATGAAAACATCACAGCATGCAGTGAGAGAAATGGTTAGGCAGGGAGTTATAAATGGTACAAAAGAAATCAGACTGGTCATTAGTGAATATGTTAGTCACAGAAATATGAAAAGGTTATACAGCAAGACAAGAGATGCAGTCAATCAAGGTTTATCCAGTTATTATATAGTGTATGTGTTAAGATGTGCACAGATTTAAAGTTATTTTGAGAAACACTTTAATGCTATTTTCTTTACAAAATAACTTAAATGCGATTTAACATATCTGAATGATATTTATAGTGACATCTTACATAATAAGACTATGCTGTTGTCATTTTTTGACAACCATTAAGTGTCTGGATAAAGCTCTTTTAACTGCGATGAATGCCGTCAGCAAATCAAGAGAGTGGAAGTCAAAACAAACATGGCGGCTGCGTGGAGAGACACCAGCGTGGACGTTAGGCATACTCACACATAAAACGGGCACAGGTCGTCCTCAGGTGCACTAGCAGATCTAGAATGTGAAGAAGCTTTTAATTTTATTTAATTATTTTAAGGATTTATGCACCGGAGTGAACAAACGGCCAGGTTTAGTTCAGCAAGCACAATTTATGACACACCTCGTCCCAATGTAGAATATCGTCTAGGAATTAATGTTCCTAATTTTGTTCTTAGGATTAGTTAAGCTGCAACATTTCTGCGACAAACAACAAACCCTCTTTTCATTACCCAGTTAATAGAAACAATAGACACGCAACATCAATTCCAATACAAATATTTTAAATATTATTAATCTAAATCAAATCAAATAGTTTAAATACATATTTGATGCCTCATATAAGACATTCATATGTTTTGTTTGGCAATGATGCAATCCTAATGTCATTGAGTTTAGACCATGAGGTGCCTCGCTCTGTAGGAAAATAACAGGCATCTCTCTTCAGGTTCTCGAGTTATTCTAAAGAAATGCTAAGAATCTCCACACCATTCATTGTTCAGTAGAAAAATAATATTTCATTAGACTTCGTGCTTTCTCACTGAATTTCAGTAAATTCATGTTTGCAGTAGAGAATGGATGCTTGGAAATATGTTTACCAAATGCTGTAATTGCAATTAATGGTTCGGTCTCTAAAATCAATGCTAAAAATCAAATTTAAAGTGGGCTGTGATGGGATGCAGGTAGAAAAGACATATAAAGGCAACAGTGAATATTTTTGAGTTTTTTGTTTATTCTAGTCCAAGGTGAAGTCTTAAGATGTCTTGTTTTATCAGTCCAAAACCCAAAGACATTTACTCTAATATGATATAAAACTGAAAAAGGTTAAAGCAATATTTTTCTGACCTTCATGCACAAAATACTTGGAGATACTTTTTATTTTTGAGTGACTAATAGTTGCAGCTTCACATTAAACATAACAACATTTCAGAGATCTGACTTTTTGTATTTATTGGGACTAAAACCTCTACCTGTTGTTGCATTTGTGGTGCAGCCGTACACCCCCTTTGCAGTAACGTGTGTGTGTGTGTGTGTGTGTCTCATGTGTCTCACCCCAGGTCTGGTCCAATGAGCGAGTGTCGTCGCAACATGGCTCGCGCCTGAGCGTTGGTCATGTGAGTGGTGGGCTCTCCGTTGATGGCCAGGATCAGATCCCCGACCCCCAGACGCCCGTCCCGGCTGATGGAGCCGCCGTGGATGATGCTGCGGATCAGCATCCCCAGACTGGCCTTCATCGCGCTCACAGTCATCCCTTCAGGTAGATTTGAAGAAACTGTTACACTCTGAAATTGGATTTGGATCTAAATTAACCAGAAATTGACTTAATTCCGCCATCACTGAAAGTATAGATCGAAAACTAGGTATCTCCTAAGGAAGATGTTTGAATAACTTATAACGTCTTTTTATTCATTTCCACATTTCCCCGCAAATTGTCCAAAACCCCACAGTATTAACACATTTGAATTTCAATGGAGTATGTGGAAATTTGAACCTCTTCCCTTATAACTCAGCATACATAAGCATAACATCAGTGTTTCATTTAAAAGTGGATTTTGGTTGAACTCCACATGGTTTAAAGATTATAAAAACAAAACCCAAATGTATTTTGTTGAAATGTTGAATTGAGCATAAAAGAGAAACAGGGGGCTAAAAAGCAAAACTAGGCACTGAAAATCTTCATAACACCTATTTGTTTTAGAAGCTAAAACTTAGCATGCTCCGAGCCAGCAGCAGCCCCATGGGTGGGTTTTGAAATGCAAATACTCTGAAAGGATCCTTTCAGAGTGAAAAACAGACAAAAATCTCTCTATCATTTTAGCTTTTTTAGCTGGCATTCAAAAGAAAAAATGACACAAAAGACAATTCCATTCCTCCTTTCAGTCATGCAACCTCATTTACACTTCTATGAAGAATAAGTCGAAAATAAATAAAATAATAACAAATCAAAATGTGAAGAAATCAACACAAACCCAGGCTGGAGTTGCCCTTCACGACTGTGATCGTCCTTTCAAAGCTGCTCCCCGAGGTCAGCGCTTCTTCATCAGCGTCCTCCGCTATCACAGCAGCGTCTTCATCCTTCAAGGTGATCATTTAAAAGTGAATCATGAAGGTAAATGAAAGTATTATGCCCGATTCAAACAAAGCGGAGAAAAGCTAAGTGCAGCTGATTGAAAATAAATAAGCTTTGAAGGATGAGTGTCTTATGTTTGAAAAGAGCCACTGGGGAGTGGATTACCTTAAGAAAATCCGTTAAGAGAAGACAAAGCACGATGATTTAGCATATTTTATAATAAACCTTGAACATTTATCAGAAATACTCACTGCTCACCTTCTTTTTTCTAACTTGTTTTACATAAGACATACTTTGATTACAGCTCTCTTTCTCCAAACATGTAAAACAGGGGTAATTGGACAATCAAAAATGCTGTCATAAGCTGGAGTAAGGGTCATATTATTGCTTTTTATATATCCAAGATATTAGCTATAGAGGTGACAGTTCACCTCCATGGCACTGGAGAGGTGTCCGTGAGCAAGGCACTGAACCCCCAACTGCTCCCTGGTGCTGTAAAAAGATGGTAGGCTTTTTGCTCTGGCACCACTGTGTTATATGACAATTTCCCCTAGAAGGTTAACAAAGTGGATTCTTCTTCTTCTCTTCAGCTACAAACTCTGTATTTTGGTCCAATCAGAACTTGACCTGGCGACCTTTTGGTTCCCAAGCCAAGTTAATACAGACTTAAGTACCGCCTATGTGACATTTTTTAAATATGTGGTTTATAATGAGGCTGCACAATATGAAAATAGTTGGTAATTATAATATATAGTTTGTAATCAGACTCATATTTTTTACCTTTATCATATTTATATCTCCAATATCTTCAAAACACATGGGTGTCTCTGCAGGTTCGTCTAATGCTCCGGTCCCTGCTTCAGAGTTTAAACACTGCTCTGGTTCCTCTGTGTCAGCGTGTGGTGCCAGGAAGTGGTCAGAGGGGCTCAGTATGGAGTTAAAAGTCGGGCCTCTGAGACTGGGAGGAGAGAAAGAGGCAGACTTCTGCGGGGAGAAGGCTGGAAAATCGTCTTCGAGGCCGGGTGGAGTCTCGAATCCGGGACGCTCCTCCAACAGGTCGAGACGAGCCGTCAGCTGCAGTAAAACAGAGCACAGCAGCTGAAGGAGCGTTCCCCTCACATAGGCACACAATTGGGGGGAATTCATCTTGTTCAGTCGCCTCCTGCCCCCCTCGTAATGAGCCATAGAAAAGCCATCAGTGGCCAATAGAGAGTGGCAGGAATTACTGGCGATCTTGAGCTTGCCGTGCACAAAATGTGGTTTTATTGTAACAGCATTTAAGACTTTATTAGAGGCCGGATGAGTAGTGATGAATTTCAGCGAGCACTTCCCTCTGGGAGCCAGAGCAGAAGTATAAATCTTTAGAAAACAGTTAGAATATGCAAATAGCTAATACAAATGGGGCTCAATGAGCAGACATGGGAAGTAGAGTAGAACAAGAAATAGGAGGTTTCATTTTAATAAGGCAGCGCTATAAATCCACAGTGAAGTGGCCTGTGACGAGTGCAGGTATTCAAACGATGCAATTATGAAGATGGGAATGATATCCCAGGCAACAGGGGGACACATTTATTTTTGTAGGATTTAAAAAATGAAGGGAATTGCTGTGGTTTACTTTAGTGTCTATAATAAATTCACCCCATTAAAAAGTGTACCTAACTTAACGATACTGTGTGTAATGAGTCATATTATGGCATGCAGAGATGATACAAATAGAAGACATTTCATCAAATGTCTGAAGGCAGAATCAGTTTCCTAAAGAACACTCAAAATTAATTACATATGACAGAGTCAAGATCGTAAAAAACTATTCAAACTTTGACTGTCACGCTCCAGGCGTAGCCAGATAAAGTTTAAGTATGTATCATTTATAGAATCGCTTTGAAAATAAATTGAGAAATTATGTTTTAAATCGGTTGGTTTCTTTTAAAAGTCTAAGTCTAGTGCATTTAAAATAAAATAAAAACACTATACAATTAACTTCCTTTCTGTATGTATATATTTGTTATGGTCTTCTTGAACAGAATGACCAATGCATGAATGTAATCTATCAATGCACTCAGAAAAAGGAGTGCTTTATTGACAGCGTAGACTCACTTATTTAGTCTCTAAAACCCAGTTGACCTTTATAGGTAATTCATATTCCTCAAAATAAAATAATCTTAGATACTGTCGGCAAGTGTGAGAAAGCTGCTCCACCGTTTACGGTCAGTGAAGTAGATTTATAAGCAGACCTGTTGCTCTCTCTGGAGCTTTAGGGAGAAAACTGTTCATCATCACAGGGAAAACACTGCGCCGTCTGCCGTCATACAAACATCTGAAATCTGTTGTGAAATCCCCCCCGTCCTGTAAAATGTGCCTGTCCCTCTCGGCTGCACGATTATAGTATAAATTCTTCGGAAGGCCCCACAAATAAGGTCAGCCGCTGGGAAAACAGTTTGTGTGGCCCCTTGCTCTTCTTTGTTTATTTTCTTATAGTTTAAAATCCATTTGCTGAGCTGTTGCTGTAGGGCAGCCACAGCTACAGCTCTCGCATCACAACAGAAAGTCAGAAATGTTGTTACTGCCTTCACAAAGAAAACATCTCTCCTGGCATTTGGGCGCTGCATGGCCAAAAACAAAGACTAATGACTACATGCTGAATAGCCCATGGTGACAAAGGGCAGTTACTGTTGGCGTGCATTTGAATGTATTTTCTGCCACTAGGGGTCTCTCAGTCAGAATGTGAGGGGTCATGGGAGGTCAACCAAGAGCAGAATTATCCATAGATTGTTATAAGCAGTAAAAACAGAGAATAAAAGCAGTTTGACGTTACAAAGCAGAGCATTTCTCTGCATGCAAACGCTAGCTCAACTTTTTTCTCGGATAACTTCAGGTTCAGACGTTCAGGAGTTTTTTTTTAACATTACCCACCTACTCTCCAGAATAAATGTTACCTCTAACTAAACCATTAAAAACAATGAAAAAAGCAGTTAAAATGTGTTTCTCTGATGCTGTTTGGCTGAAAATGATCATCCTGCTTGGGCTTCAAGTTGTGGTGCCGCCAACGTTCGTTCAGCTTGTATCTCCGAAAACTCAGATCAAGACCTCCCATCACCATTATCCTTCATATAATTAAAATAGAGAGTGAAAAAGCACCAAGATCTAAAAGATACATGTTAAAAATGTTGTTTAAAACCGCATGAAGTGCATTTTTCACTAAATATAGTGTATATATAGAATCACTGCAATTATTCATCTGGGAGACGCGAGTACACAGAATATGCCTAGTCTGATGTGTAAATGTGCCATATTATCTATGTGAGAATAACGTGGGGTATATTCCCTGTGCCTCTTACCTTGGGTGTAGATGCGTGCAGGTAGTCCAGGTCGGCGCTGCAGCTGCTGCCGTGCAGAGCCATCATGGACGCCTGGAAAGAGTCGTCGTCCATCGTGGAGTAAGAATGATCTAACTGCTCCGCCTCGCTGGTGTCGATCTGTGATCATCAATGGAAGAACAGTAACCAACTGGCACTGAAAACCTTATAGTTGATCAATGAGGTGAACTATCTAATCACAGAAACTATTGAATCACATCATATATGGCATCTATGTGTCAGAGTAATGGTCAATATAAGCAGAAGCAAATATGTTAAGCAAAATCTGTTTTTCCATTTTCAGGATGTTCTGATTGATTTTTTAGTTTTTCCCAGAAGCTAACTAACCAATGCCGGCTCTGCTCGGTAAACGTTGCCCTCAGCCGGTCCTTCTTCCTCTCCTTCTTCAACCAAAATATTGTTGAAGTCAAATGAATGGATGGTGGATGATGGAGTAATTTCCTGCTCACCATAGGGGTGTGGAGAGTGGGAATATCCACATATTCCCTAGGAAAGTGGAGAAATCATTTCAGAGTCTCCAGCTTCAAATAATCTGATTTTTTAAATTGTTTTAATGACCGAATCAGGTACAAATGAGTTAGTATGGAATGAGGAAAATATGTTAGAAGTTATTGAGAGCTGATTAAAGAGAAAGATAGGGCTGCAGGGAAGTTGCCCAAACGTCACAGACAAGCTCAAGAACATTTCATATGTATTCGTTAAAGCTCTTGATATTGATTTTGTGTAGCATGCAGCCTAGACATGCTACACAAAATCCCCCTCAGAAGAAGATCCCCGTCCTGCAGGAGCGGTGTTTAACTCCAGTTTCCTGCAGCTCTGTAATCTAACCTCGGCAGCCCAGAGGTCTTACTGCGTAATCCAGCGGCAGATTCAATACGGGGGAAACCAAGCTGTAAAGCTGAAAGAATGCGAGCAATTTTGCAGAGAGCGACGTACAAAGAGAGCTGGAGCCTGCAGCGGTGAACATGCTGTTGGACAGGCCCAATATTCACACAGCTGCCCCGATGTGGTAAAACGTACAACAGGGCCTAGAAAATCCAAAAACATAGTATATGAAACAAGAGCGTTAAAGGCTGGATGCCTCCTCTGAATGAGCAGTGGGTGGAAAGCTAAGCCTCCTCTCTTTTTCCTGCATGAAATATTCAAGGCCTCGTAAGCTGAACCCTCACGACAAGCTGACTCACAGGGACACATTGTTATAAAAGCATAACTAAAAAAAAGCACACATTTGCCCTGTTATCGCCCACAACACAAGTGATATTTTCCTTCATAATAATTTAAATGCTGATTGTTTGCTTACAGGCAGCGGTTTGGACACTCCTATCTGCACCATGCCCAGCTGGGCCCCCTTCAGCGCCTGCACTGCGTCCTCCAGGCTGCCGTTCTCCAGCTCCGTGCTGTTCACGTACATGAGGCGGTCTCCTGGCAGCAGCCGGCCGTCATGCTCCGCCACGCCGCCGGGAACCAGAGAGCGGATCACGATCACCGTCTTGGCCGGGTCCAGCGGGTCCTGAGGCGGAGGAACAACAGGTAAACTTCACAGACTCAAATGTACATGGAAATCACAGGAAATGTACTATTCTTTTTTTCTGAGGAAACAACACTAGACTCTCCAACTACAACAAATAAATGTGTTGTAAAATATCCTTTTCTTGACCAGAATCAATTCATAGGGTTGACCGTAACAAAAAATCGTAGAAGCTAGTTTTAAAGAAGTTTACAGTGATTATTTAATGGAAATAAATGTAATGCTAAATGATACCTACTGTTCCCAAAGTGGATGACAGGCTCAGATATTTATATAATATGTGTACAGCCGTCAGAATTAGCATTAAATATGGGTGAAAAAAGGCAATACTCGATAAATATCGAACTTTCTGCTCCTTAGGTTTATGATAGAAACACAACATCATGTATAAAAAGAACCGATCTGTGAGTTTAATATAATATCATTAAATAAGCCATTAGGATACCATTAGATATACTTTTATTGTATCGGAAATACTTTTTTTACAAGACTTTGCACAATAAAATAAAGAATAAACAGTATGTATTTGTATATATCAACTGTGAAAGATTTAGATAATCTCTATTGAATATACAATATTAATATACAGATTGAAGTCTGTGCACTTTTCTGAAAGGCCTGCCTACAACTAGCAAACTGTAAACAACGTATACTAAAGATTTCCCACCTGGTAGTCGAGGATGCTGAATCCCAATCCTCCTTCTCCTTTCTCCAGCTCGATGTTCTGGATCTCCAGCTCCCACATGGCCAGAGGAGAGGCTACGACCTCCTCCGTCACATTTTCCTCTGTCACTGATGCTGCTGCTGCTGCTGCTGCTGCCTTCACCTCTGAGTCTGCAGCCGCCCGCACAATGCTCAGGTCTATTTGTTTCTGCGGAAAGAAAAGCCCAAAATCCATCTGTAACAGCCTGCCTGCCTCACTTTCAGTCCCAACCCCTGGGCTGCTACCCTCCGGTGTGATTCTGGCAGGAGATAAAAGGGAAATATCTCCGGGGATGATCGGGCCTTAGCAGATTATCACTGTTAAAGCTGGATAGATGAAACCCACCTTCCCCAAGAGACTAGATGTTTCTGATGTCTCATATCTCCTGCACATGTTTGGTGCAGACATATTACTAGAATTGGTCCTAATAAACGTTTCTCTGCTTTTTGATAAGACTTCATTCAAAGTCAATGGAGCGATTAACAGATCGTGCTAAGCTAATAACGAGCAATGGGTTTTAATAGCGGGAGAACTTTGCACTCCATATTCCCTTTCATATGCAGAAATGGGAAATCATTTTCATGATACCATCAATGCATGCTAAGGTGTGTAGTTTCCAACTCGACTTGAATGCATCTTCTGCTACAATAGCCCTTAAAATGCAGGTGTTTACTCCCAAATCATGCTTGACAAATGCTATCTAATGCTCATTAAAATGTATATTAAAACAATAATACATTCAAGTACATCTGCTATGTTTGAGCATTGCATTTGCAGTACCTTTAATGCAGACACTGTAGACAGAATCTCTGGTTCTGGTTGGACATCGTGCATGTCAGTCTGCAGGTGGGGGGCGGGTCTGCAGCAGGTCATGAAGACGCAGAGAGGAAGCTCCTTCAGGATCCTCACCACTTCCTTGTGCGTTTCACCAATCAGAGACAAGCCGTTGACCTGAGAGAGGAGAGGCTAGCATTAGCTTCATTTAGGTGTAGTAGGTAAGTAGTAGTAGTAGTAGGTACATGTTGATAGTTCAGCCTTTGTAAGTATTAATGGCAACAATGTCAAAGACAAAATGGAAACACTGTTGAAAGTGTGTTTTTTGCACCTCAAGCAGTTCATCTCCGCTGAAGAGCTTCCCGCAGCGACCCACAGGTCCCTCAGGAAGGACGGAGCGGATGTAGTGATGTCCGCTGCTCGCCTCCAGACTGATGCCCAGCCCGCTGCTCGCACTGAACTTCTCCACCTGAGCCACCTGTAGAATAACATCCCAGTTATATCTCAATCCCTTTTGTGTTGCCACTCAGGTCATTCCGCTTTTTTAAAGAGAGCAGTTTTATGTTAAGATGAATGCTTCGGTCTATCTTAGGTTCTCACAGTCCAACGTGATGTCTTCAAATGTCTTGTTAAGATATATAAAGTGGAAAAAAAACAGAACGTCTCCATATTTGAGTTTCAAGAAACACTTTAGCATGCTTAATGACTCAAAAGTTAGATTATCGCAACAATTAATAAACTCATCTTTTAGTAGACTAATGGGTTGAAAATCTAATTTAATGCATGAGAGAAAATAATTAATATTCAAAACAAAACTTACTACAACTTCATTACTTGGACCCAGAATCTCGAGCCACTTCTTCATCAGTTCCTCTTCCTCAAAGGCTGTTAGCTTCATCCCTTGGAAAACACAACAGCAAAGCATTAATGCACAAAACGAGAAAAAAATGCTAAAACGTGATAAACTCAGCCTGCATAGTGACTTACATTTCGAACTATTTGCAAAGTCTTCGAGCTCTGACCCACTTAAGAAGAGTGTTATCTGAATTTTTTAAACACCTGTCAGTGTTTCCTCTCCACCGTGTGTTTGCTCGTGTGTTCCTGACACAGTAACCCTTATCTGTCAGACATATCTTAAAGAAGAGTTCCTCCTACCATGTGTGTCGTCTGTCAGCTGATCCGAGGTCGAGCCGACATCAGATACTTCGCTCTTTGTCTGAGGTGGCTTTTCATCTGCGGTGACTGTGAACAGACCGCGAGGAGTGAGGAAGACGCACACACGTCAGGGAAACAGAGCTCTACTCTGCACTTATAGGTGCTCAGTAAACTCAACACAATTATCACGATTCACCTTACGCAAAAACAAATATGATACAGAAAGCACATGCAAATAGTCAGGAGGAATTAAGTGTTGGTACACATTTTTCAAGCTTAGCTCAAAATGTGTCAAAACAATATTTTCATTTTCGAAATTATAATAACAGAACTGTGTTTGTGTGTATGTTTACTATGATTTATGAGAAATAGTGTTATAAATAAAATGTAAACAAGAGTAGACATCTCCCTTTGGCACAGATCAATTTATTTGTTTGGACTTTTTGGACTTCTTTTTTTGGACGAGTCCCTATTCTGCTTTTCGAGCACTATGTAACACACTATGTTTGTCATTAATGCTCATGCTAGAGCTAATATTATTTATTATTTGGTACTCTATTATTTAATTCTTCCAAAGTACAGTAGTATGAGAATTTCCTATCTTTTTCATAATGACCCTCACTTTAGAAAAAATATTCTCCTCCTATTACCTTAAACAAGGATTTACCTGTGTGTGCTGATGATACCCATTATGACAGACTTTAAACTTCAAATATCTGTTTAATGACCCGCGTGTGTTTTTTTACAGCTTCACACCACTTTTTATGTCTCTGGAGTTCCACAGGGCACCGGAGTGGCCGCCCATGAAATTACTACGCTGTACATCAGCACCTTTTAAGTGCTCACATAAAACTAATACTAGCTCCTCTGCCGGTGTGTGAATGTGTGTGTGCTCCAACAACCTGAACACTGACTTGGCAACAATTTAAGTGAGTAGTTACATTTATTTTGTTAATCCCAAACATTAAATGACCCATTACAACACCACATCAAACCTATGATCTCATGCACAGTAAGTTAGCTTAAATACATTCTAACTCAACAAACTAGTGTGTTTCAAAAAGCTTGAGGAACACACACTCTTATAATGTGTCATTTTGATTAGGGATGCAAAATGTATTATTTAGCCGACACCAATATAAACCTGCTTGTCATGGCTGCTAATTGCTAAAAAACACAATCATTTCACATTCAAAAAGTGTATAAGCCTTGTGTTTAGCTGTAACTCAACGCCATGTTGCTGGATGCCTTGTAAATGTTGATGTTTTTAATTCTATGACTTGGTCTTTTTCAGGTTTTAAACAACACTATGGAAAACCTTGGCTCTTTTGCTGTGACAATCCTGTTTATTATTGTCCTTATGTCTTTTCCATGCCGGAGGGAAAAGCTTTCAACAAATAAAACTTTCCATAGCTAAACAGCTGCTACTAGAGACGGGACAATATAGGATTGTATTGTTCAAAATTTGGGATAATCATAAATATTCCCACTGAGTTACTTTAAAAAGCTGTCTAGCTCTCTATCATGGTAGAGACATTACAAATAGAGCCTGCATTTGTTAAAAATACAGATACACGTAAGAAAGAACAGACTCACTCACTTTTATTTTGGGAAGGTTTTACACTTTAAAATTATGTTTTTGTAAAAAACTTGATGCCAAAAGAAAATGTATATCTCAACAAAATGTAAGTTAAAGTGATTCCAGTAGGTTTTACTAACATTTTAAGAGTTTTTAGCATGTTTCTAAATTGCAATATCTTTTTAATATGCTGTTGGTTTAAGTTGTGTAACTTTTTTTGATAAAATAAATCTCAATTTGCTGTCAGTCTTTACTGCATCATATCTCCTGTCTGAGCCACACGTGTTCACACATCAAATGTCCCTTTTTCTCAAGTAGTGTGTTTTTGTCTCTTTTCATTAAATCCCTACCTTGTGCCGCAGCCTCTTCCTCTGCCTTCCTCCTCTCCAGCTCCAGCTCCTCCAGCACTATGGTGGTGGTGGGGATGGTGGTGTGGGGGGGCAGCACGCCGATGCTGGGGGCCAAAGCGGGGGGGAGGTCTTCGGGTTTGAAGCCCCTCCGGATCAGCTTGAGGTGCACCGTGTGGCCTGTGTGGCGCAGCACCTCTACCGCCTGCTGGTTGGTGAAGCCCTGGATGTCCACGCTGTCCACCTGCAGGTGGCGAGACACCAGAGTGAGCTGGAATTATTTTTATTTTCTTTTTAAGAATAACATACAACAAGAGACGGTGAAAAGGAAGAAAAGTACTATGATTACACCTCTTGAATTATTCATATTGATGTAAATTGTTCATGTGGTGTTCTTATGTGTTTGTATAGCTCTGAACATGTAAAAAAGTAAACTGAATTGCATAGAATACTTGTTTGTTTGAGGTAAAATTGAAATAACCATAGGCATTATTAACCAGTAGAGCTTCAAGAATGTCAAAATAATAATAATTTGATTCATTGTTTAAGTTATTTCTTCTTGCAAAAATGTCTTTAAATGCAGTTGTCAGCCTTTAAAATCTGTCTTTCAATCTTTTTTCAATCATATTTAAGTGAATTTCTTCAGTTTGGACTTAGAAAATAATTATATTTTCAGCTTTTCGGATAATTGACTGAGCATTAAAGTCATTTATCATGCGAAAATGTCTTTTTAAATGTAGCCTATCAAATCTGGATTTACAGACATTTATAGTCATCTACTTGGACTTTGAGAAACTGACACTCCTCACTGTTTGCTATCATTTAATTCACCAAACTATTAATCCATTCATTTAACAAATAGTCGTCACATTAATTTATAATGAACATCATCATTACTCGCAGCCCTAAACAGCACCAGAGTATTCCCATCTATTCAAGCCATTAACTTTATTTATTTAGATCATTTAGGAGAGTTAAAAAAAAACAAGTTTAAATAATTCAGTCAATTAAATGCTTAAAGTTCTTAAATTGGATCCCAAAGCACAAGAATAAAACATAAACACAGTAACAAAACAGGAGGATGTGAGGACTTTAAAAACACAAAGGCAACATTAACTCATTTCAAAATGATGCAAGACATTACACAGTTTGACGTCCTGCAGAAATGAAGCTAATTCAAGACTCCCAGTCACAAGAAAAAACACTTTAATAACTATCAGTTAATTATTCATCATGCATTTCATAATCACCCTCCATTCCCTCACGGTAATACATCTAATAAACCTTCACTGAATATTTTACCTCATGCCATTACAGAGAAGAAAGCACAAAGAGCATAATGGTTGCACTTACAGCTATTATCTGGTCTCCAACATGGATGCGGCCATCTTGATCTACAGCGCTATCTTTTGTTATGCTCTTCACAAAAATGCCAGAGGGCTCTGAGGAGGCAGAACAAGGACACAAAATAAAAAAAGATATGAAGAACAAAGCTGTAAATCTGGACATTAAGACCCGAGGAGGAAAGCTAACAGATGTTTCAATATTACATGAGTCATAAACAATAATGGGATGAACCCTAATGCTAACCTTGAAAAGTAAAGACTTTGCAGCCAAGGCCATTTCATATTCAATTTAATTAAATGAGGGAAGAAGCTCATAATAAAAAGGCTTACTGTGTGCACTTATATTGAAGCTAATCACTTCCCAAACACTGGCATTGACAACACCTTATAAAGTTATTAGGCTAACACGTTAGCATACATTCATTTCAAGTTTTCTGTCCAACTGTCTAATATTGACCTAAAACGATAAGCTAAAAGTGGCTAAAGCACTCATAAAGGACATACATACTATGAATCCATTACTACCAGTAACAGTTCATTGTAAAGTGTTTTATTAGGAGGGAAATTAGTGCCTTTGTTGGAAATTAATATATTGACACAATTTGTGTAATACTGAAGTTATAAATATTTTTATTTTGAACATCATACTCTGATTTTAATGGTCATTCAGTCTGCTATTTCTCACCTGAGTTTTTATCTCCAACATAGCCGGCGATAGTGATGCCCAGACCCTGTGCGTTCTTCGTTAGGCTCACATCAAACGCTTCATCCTCCTCTTCCTCCTCTTCCTCCTCCTCCTCCTCCTCCTCATAGCCCTGTGAACAGAGGAACAGAAAAGACAGGTAAATGACCACTGATCACAAGATAAGAGGAAAACAAATCATCAACTGCACCACACGGGTATCAAATCAGTTTTCTTCTTTGATAATAAACGATCTGACGCTGGTGACAATAATAGACCCCTAATGTGTGCAGGCAAAAAGGATGTTAATTATAAAGTGAGTCACCGAATTTCATTCAATGTCTGAATAGGCCTGAGCCTTGAAAATATCTGTGAAATCGATGTTTTAGAGCTGAATAAATAAAAATCAACATTTGCTCTCAAAATATGAGTCACAGGCAAATTAATCAGCAGTTTTCTTTCAATTCATTTCAGAACCACGAAGAGAAAGAGAATAAAGATGGAGGCAAAGGAGGTGGACTTGTTTTTCTTTAAAATAATCAATCATCAGTACTCCAATACTTAAAAACATTTCTCTTTTCTTTTCTTTTCAAAGTGCAGCAGTCCCCTCACCTGTTCATTGACGGTGGGCAGCACCACAGGCATGACAGCAGCGACAGAGGGGCCCTCCTCCAGGGGCCCCCGGGTCACCACCAGCTTCACCCGGTTCCCACACAGCCGGAGGACCTGGGCCACCTGCTCGCTGCCCATCCCCAGCAGGTCAGTGTCCCCGATCCGCAGGATGTGGTCCCCGCTGCGCAGTCGGCCATCCTAAAAAAAACACATTTGAGTCAATTGGCCCCTGGGCACAGACAGGCTAGAGAGATTATAACATTTTGTGGTCTTTTTGTAATGTTTTTGTGGTAATTTTCTGTCTTTTTTTTGTCTGGTACTGTGCGTGTTTATATCAGTACAATGTATGCAGGTGTAGGTAAGCTACCCATGACACCTTGGGCCCTTGGGTAATGTCGAGTGGGCCTCTGACACTTGTGTGCAGTAATCCATGAATTAGTCTGTGTAGCTTCAGTATAAAATCAAACCCATAATAAAACGCTCAGTACCAAACAGAAGACAAGAGTGACAGTTAGCTTGCAATTCTCATTATTCCTAATTGACATGGGCCGTCTCTTTAGAACATTTAAAGTGACATAAAATACAAAGAAATGTGCCTTTTTTATTGTAAACACTTTACAGTATATACAAAGAATCTTCATGGAAAGAAACATTAGTCATTTAAAGCAATCTCTCAGAAAAAGCAGTCACCTGATCAGCGATGCCTCCAGGAAGGATGGTCTTCACAATAACTCCGGTGGTCTTTCCTCCCACGATACCGAAGCCGAGGCCAGTGCCATCGTTCACCAGCTCGATCGTTTCCACGTGCTGCCACTAGGCACCGGGAAAGAGGAGGAAGAATAGAACAAATGAACATTCGTACAAATGTATCCAGCCATGAACTGTGTTGGATGAGTAAGTAAAGTGTATGCATGTTCGCCGTTTGATAGCCACAGACACATTTGACTGCCATGTTGGATTGCAGGATCTGCTTCTAATGTGTCTTTGTGTATCGGCAAAGCGTCGTTTTTTTGCGAGTTTTGCAAAAATGAGGTTGTCTAAATGAGCAAGTTCAAATCATGGCTGATATTAGAGTGTGTGTTTACCGCGCTGGAGTTGGCAGACAGGGTGCTGGCTGCAGAGGGTGTGCGTGACACTGCGGGGCTGGCGAGCTGGGGGATGGGTCCTCTGGCCACGGTGAGCTGGACCCTCTCTGAGGTGCTCTGCAGGAGGCCGATGGCCTGCTGGTGGCTCACTGTCTGGTCCAGGATCTTCCCGTTGATGGCTAAGATCTGATCCGCTTCCCTCAGCTTCCCATCGCTGTCCGGGAAGAGGGACATAGTGAGGGGGACAGGCGGTAAATGAAGTCAGAGCTTAACCAAAATCTGCCTCTGATCAAGTCTTTATCATAGAGTAGCGTAATAGTGGAGACTAACCATTAGTTGTGTAACCTTTTTGTTCTCTGTGTTGGCACATTTCTCTCTAAAGATACATTTGGTTGTGCTTCTATTTGACATTTCAATATTTAGAGTATTTCGTAAGCCATATGATGTTCTGAAGGCATGAAAATGTAGTTTTATATTGAAAGAATTACAACAATTAGAGTTGAAACGATTAATTTCTATGTACAATTTAATAGTTAAACATTCATTTCCATTACGTTTTGTATAGTGTAAGTGGTTCATTATTTACTGTCATTATTTTAGTAAATTCCAGTTGTTTAAGCTTTTATTTTGAAGGCAGCATCAGGAATTCTGGTGACAGTTGGGGTAATGTTGGGAACCGGAAAGGCTGGGTTTTTTTTTTTACCAGGGAACGAAAGGACTTTAAGCCATTGTTTTTTGCATGTTTGATAGTGGAAAACTAATTTAAAATAAGCAATCATTTGCCCTGGACAATGCATTTAATACCTGTATATGATTTTCTACCTGGTGCTTAAGTCCCGGTTTGATTCTGATTACATTTTTTGGTGCAATTAGAAACGAGATACATTTAATTTCTAGAAAAAAGTCCTAGGGCGTGTTAATTCTAACATACCAGTCAGCCACACTTCCTGCTTGTATTTCCTGGATGAAGATGCCAAGCTCTCCCCGGTTCTCGCTCTTCAGTCCCACCACGCTGAAGCCCAGACCCCCTGACTCTGGCTTCTGCAGATCCACATGTGCCAGGTAGCGCCCCTGAATGATAAACACATATATATTTGCACATGTTATTTGGCGGTGTGCTGATTTGCATCAAAGCTGCAGCTGCCTTTAGAAGTGTGTTAGAAGTAACTCGAGAGTAAACTTGCAGCCTGTAGTGCTAGATATCATTAAGGTTTTTCTACCTGCTGATTCTTGTGCATGTGGTAAAATTACCCAAACATAAAATGATTGCGGTAATACATCAAATAAAACAGTAGCCTGGCAGCAGAGTGTCTTACACTGACAAACAGCACAGTGATTGCCTCGTCTTTACAGATGTGTTTACCTGCGCCATGGAGTGAACAAGATGTTCAAATTCCTCAGACGATGGCTTGCCGTTGATGAGAGTAGAAGCTGAAAGGTCTGAGTAGGAAACATGGCCGCCGTTGGGCTTGACTGCTGCGACATGATCGCAGAGGTCAGTCTCACACGACCCTGGGAGACTCTCCTGAAAATATAGAAATAGATATGTAGTGAGTTAAGTCGAAAACTGCAGATGTTGCAGTGACAGATTACTCTGTTTTGCATATTTTATCTAAAAATAAACGTGATATTTATGGCTACATAACAGCTCTGGATTATTGCAAAACAATCCTGCAGAGAGCAGCAATTACTGGCAATAATCCAACTGAAAACAATTAAAAGTTCAAACAAGAAAACATCATGACTCATTCCAACTGTGGACGTAAACATTTAGTTTAATTTTAGACACCAAAACCCTGAAGTGTGTGTGTGTGTTTGTGTGAGGCCACTGGGATGCCAGATAGTTAGTTATCCCGCCATGATTAGCTGGATCTCTGACAGCCTAATCCTTCAGGGTATAATGGCTCTTAGCTGATGTTCCAACAATGACAAGGCTCCAAACACAATATTTCCATGGCGGCAGGGGGAAGCATCACCGGCCATCTGGAAGCCTTAATATGTTTGGCTTTTAATTACTGCAATGACTTTACTTGTGTGACGGATGAATTACATGAATGAGACATCTACATAAAACAGTGTTTTCCCAATTTCATTAGCCAAAGGCCAAAATGTTTATGACCATCTGAATTGGATTCAAAAGGACGGACTCAATACACACACACACACACACACACACAGTTTCATAAACACTCATTTGGCATATGGCACTGCCGAGCTAAAGCTGTCCTTGTGAACTTGTGCATTTCATTCTGGGAAGTTGACTGCACAACTTTTAGCTCTGGGAACATGTAGTGTGAATTATAGCTGCCTTTAAATACAGGCCCAGATTAGTGCTGAGAAACAGGGCACATTAGAGCTGCATACAGCCCTATGGGCCATGCTAACGTAGCGTAGCATGCGGCTAAGTTGCATGAGCTTTGTTAGTTGGGGCCTGGCTAAGAGGATTAAAGTTCCAGTTTGGTTCTTGCACATTTAAGAAATTGTTTCTGCCCCACTTCACACGGTGGCCTCTTTCCTATTGGAGAGTCGGGCCTGGTCACCATAGCGACGTGGACTGTGCGCGGCCTAACTACCAGAGCCAGGAGATGGACAGTGTGTGTGTGTTTGTGTCTGGCTCTTGTCTGACAACAAAACACAAAACAAATGCACCCTCGCTCCAAACTGGTTCTGCTGACGGGGGCCAAACAAATGCAGTTTGCTTTAAAAACACAACAGTGACTACAGTGAGACTTGTTACCCTTTTCACCAGATCTGAAGGGAAATTATGATAAATACCTACTTGGTAAGTGTTGCTTACTAAAGAAAGCATGCATCAGCACACACACAGGAGGAATGTAGGACTCCTTTGCAATGAGTAAAACCTCCAGCATAGAAAAATGCCAGCAGACTTTTATAATCTAAATTCCTCAGTGGGCTAAAGGCTGGAGCATCCCTGCCTCCCACTGCATAGCTCACATATTTCCGTCTCTATTTCTCAAACGCTCGCCCCGGCCCCATTCCACTGAGACTGGAGAGCTCTCTGCCTCTTCCTCTCAAACGATTTATTCTCAATGGAGAGAATCAGCCTGAAAAGTTAGACCTTCTATCTGTACCCTCACTACGGTCGGCTCATGAACTCTGACAGCAATTTGGCCAAAGCAGCAGCACTTTTGGGAGAGGGGATTTTAAAGGGTGGAGGAAAGATAAAAGCATTGTTGATAAATTAACCTTACTGTGATGCTGTAGTTTCTTTTTGACCTTGTTGTTGAAGATGTTATGTTTGTCATGTAACCAAAACACTTCAAGTCAGTCTTCAAACTATTAATAAAATGCCCAAATATATATCCAAAGCATTAAAACTTGCTGTAATTGTTTGTCTTGTGCACAGGAGCTACTACATACAAGGGTTTATTCAGCTTATTGTAGGTTTAGAAAAAGTTTGTATCGAGAGAAAAAAAACACAAAGTTCAAAGATCATAGTCATAACATTTTTTTTTTAAGAATCTGACAAAGATACAAGAAAAAATAGTGTATCATCTGAGAGATAATATTTCTGTTTCTTGACCAAAAAATCCACACATTTCTGAGATTTCTTCTTGTAAATGTGACTTTTGTCTTCTCGTAGAATCAATCCTCACTCCCCAGGCTACTTAACTGTTTTTTGTTTTTTTCAGATTGGCATTAATATGGCCTCATAGTTTCTGTACTTGCAAAATTGCATCTTTGCATTTATTTTCTTTGAAGGGCTCCAACTATAATTCTAAACAGAGATCATCGTCTAATCATACTCATAGTTTGATCTTAGTCAAAAGATGATGCATTGAAATGTCTTGTTTTGTCCAAAATATTCATAGAATTTTGTCAGGGTTGGGGAATATAGGATGCAAATGCAGGAAAAATAAAATAAAAAGGTCTGGTAACAAAAAGCGAGCTTTATTAAAAAGCAGATGAGAAGAAAAAACAAGAAACAACTTCATTAGATAAATAGTCCTATAGTTGTGTTTTTCACATTATGTGGATGCAATATTTGTGGGGGTACCTGGTCTCTGAGGTGCTGCACGGACTTCTGCAGGGCGAGGATCTGGTGAAAGAGGGGGCTCTGGAGCACAGACTTGAGTAGGCTGAGCTTCTCCTCGGTGGGCACCTCCCCCCGCTCCTTCAGCCGGGCCTGGAGACGCTCCACCGCCTGCAAGGCACGCTGAGTGTCTGCAGGCCGTCACATATTTCAGTGACAGCACCAGAGTGGAGGAGAGGACGGTGGAGAAGAGAGGCTTAATCAGTGCATGGGCAGAGAGTGAGATAGAAAGGTTGTTTGGACCTTAAAATACACTTTTATTTGTACTTTTAGCATTTGTGTTTCAAAATATACCCCATATTGTCTTTTAACGTGTATCTTTAACTATCTGTAAATAGCAGTGGTGGAAGAAGTACTCAGATTAAAGGTGGGCCGGCTAAAATTATTGGTCGTGCTTTTTACAGCGCTACGGCTTCCACAGATGAATTGTTGTATGTATTTATTGTCAAAGCATTTAATATATTCATTGCTATCGGGATGTTAAGAGCATTCCATGGAATATAACAAAAAGTGTTTCTGAAATAAATTACATACCCCACCTTTAAGTAAAAGTAACAATACGAAAATGTTCTTTTTTAGTAAATATACTTCATTACAGTCCACCAGTAAATCGGCACAGAGGAAGCTCGGCTGCTCTAAAGATCACGCAGCATCAGGTTTTGCACCAGAAGAAATAAAACAGTTTCTCTTCAGAATAGCAATGTGTCCTCTTGTTTCCATTAGTGTCAGTGGTGTGTTGCACAGGAACAGAGAGTGTGTATCAGCAGATAAGAGCAGCAGCCCCTCCTCAGTCTGCCTGCTGGACCCTGCATAAGCTGTAAACTCCAGAGAGGCTTGTTAGTGAGGATGGGTCAGCCCGGTCTACGCTGGACAAAAATGAAGCAATTTCCAAAGCTCACGGAGCGTGACTAACACCTCATCGAGCTTTTTATAACGTCCAGGAGCCCTTTCTGCACTTAAGACGCTTTGTAGTTTGAACAACGGTTGTAAACAAGACGATAACATTAGAGTATCAGCTTGGTTTTTTCTGTTGCCACTGCTCTTATGCAGGTATCTGTTTCAGCTGCATAAGGATGTTAAAGAGGCCCTTTTATGCCATTTGTGTTTTTTCCCTTTCCTGTAGTGTGTGTAATATTTTCTATAAGAGACAGTAAAGTTGGTCCACGGCAAGACTATAGGCAAAACACTTTTTGGGAGGATTTAGGGCTATTTATCATGATTTTTTAAAGACTATCAGGGAGAGAAAATCACCAAAGTGATTACTCACCCATTGTTTCAATCATTTTTACAATTCCAGATGGGTGTGATTTCGTTCCATTAACAGCAACGCCACTCGTTTCCCTTCCTCAAGGCCTGTAACAAAAAAAACACAATGTATTTTTCTTAACAGTCAGAGAAATACATTTCTGGAAAGACAATCTTTCCACAACACACTCGGTAGAAACAGAAAGTAAGAGCTGTAGACACTAATTCTCGTCTGAACCACACTTCTTAAAAACCTCTCTATTGGAAAGGTCAACATGAAGAGCAAAACTGATTCATTTCTGCTCTTTCAGGGACATATTGTTGTCTTAAAATGCTTCACCATAACAGCAACACAGGAACATGGTGCTGCAGAACTGAAGTCACATCTACTGTGTGTTAGAGATGTCATTCACTGCACTGTTGCAGCAGTTTTGGAATATGCATGACATGTTCGCAGCCAGCGAAAACACGGTGGTCCAATTTACTCCTATCAGATAAACATAGCACGTTAAAGAGCATTCTGCTGATTAAAAATATTTATAGTCAGTCTTATCAGTTATTTTAAAACCATTGTAATACTCTGCGTGGATCATAATAGCGCTGCAACAATTATCTTTATCGTGTATTAATCTGTGGTTTATTTTCTAGACTAATTGTTTTTTCTTTAAAATGTCAGAATATGAAATGCACATTAGAATTTACCACAGCCTAACGTGATCTATTGCATAATACATAATAAAAGCGAGAATAAAACTAAACTACAATGTTCATCATTAATTATCAAAAAAGTTGCAGATGACATTTTGTCATTTAACTTATCAACTGATTAATGCAACTTTATGTAGGCATGTCGCAAAATTACCTTAACAACTTATGGCATGATATATGGCGAGGACCTCCAACATTTGTGCGTGTTTATTATTATTATAAGAATGTTACTAACATTAAGCCAACAGGAGAGAGAATAAACTGTAACCTTATTATTATGTATTACTTTAGTTGTGTGGTTTTATTTTAATTGTATTTATTTAGCATATTTAATATTTGGGAAAATAATTTAATCCAATGTCTGAATTATCTTAATAATATTAATAATTAATATTCTTTCCATAACTCCAAATGCATCTGATTTATAATGTTTTTTGACAGTTAGTAGACCATATCTTTCATTGTATTTGATATTTTTCAGGTATTTTCTACATGCAAGAATGAAGCTGTGAAACCTTGACTCATCACATCTTTAAACTAAAGCCTGATAATAACACAGTATGAAGGTATTTTAACACATAATATGGAGGTAGCTGTGGGTTTGTATGTTTTGCTAACACTGCCATCAGTGTCATGGCTGTCACACTTGAGTCCAGCAGAGACTTTGTTACGAGCACGACATGACTCAGGGGGACATTAGATTAAAGGAGATTGCTGAGGTAATTAAAAGCCGACTCTTAGAATAGCTCCAGCATGAGTCAGCAGGATCAGCCCAGTTTATTTGTTGTTATTTATTTTTGCTTCATTATACCTTTCTAAATGACTAATGAACTTTCAAATACAGGATGTGGTCGCTGTGTGTTAATGGGTTTATTTTGGTGTACAATCTCATTTTGAATCTCCTGCACTAGTATACAAATGTTTAATAAATAGCTGCAGGGAAATATATTCGTGCTGCATAAATCGATTGATTTGTACTACTTTATTACTGGTACTAAAACATTTGTAATGTGTATGAGCACCCACATAATGATTAATATAACAACTGGCATCCAGTTCCAGAGAAATATACTTTTTAAATGTAATAAATAAATAAATATAATAATATGCTTTTAGATTTAGCAGTTTATTTCTCTAGGCTGCCCAGTTTGTTTTTAATATGCTATTGCATTAATATGCAAAAATAGCAGGTTCATATGTGTAGCACATAACATAGGCCTACACATGGGTGATTCAGTGTGCTTTAGATAAAACAGAAAGAAGCATAAATGTGACTCAAATGACTCAGAAACCCATTAGCTAATGTCACAAAGTGGACTTTACCCCAAACACAGAGCTTTAAGGATGCATTTACCTCCGAAAATAATCACGTGTCAGCTTTGCTGTGACTATATGCTAATAATACCGGACTGTCACCGAGGACTTATTCTGCAAAATAAAACCCAAAGTAGCTCGACTATGTCCCCGGCCGCGTTACACTTACTTATCATATTAAAGCGTTTGCTACAATATAAGTATGCGTATTTCTAGTAAATCCACTGAGGTTAGCTAGTGTTTTGATAAAGTGACCAGGGCACTCGGAACAATCCGCTTTCCTCAGCTCCTCCTCCACCTCCATCTCATCCATGGAGGAGCAACAGGCTTCCCACGGTGAAGAAGTTAAAGTATCGCTGCTGTGGGTCAAACGGAGGCTACTTACAGTGAACTGAACACACGTTATACTTAGAAAGAGACACTAAAAGCTATTTAAATCCCCCCTATGTTCTGCTTCTTGGTGACCACAGGATAGGCGTCTCGGGATATTTTCCTCTCATTAGCGACAGTGTAGCTAACAAAGGCGCCTGTTGCACACATATTTAGTTGTTTCAATAATCCTAAATGTTCATTAAGATTTCCCGTAGCGACTTTAGAGAATAATGTATCACTTACATGAGTGTGGAGCCTTTACTTCCCGGATCTCAGTACCCTCTACTCTGCTGTTGTCCTGCGGCTAACGGCGCTCTGTGTGCGGCTTAAAGACGGGGCGGTGTGTAACCCGATCCTCCGCTCACCCCGGCCCGGCCACAGGGACTGAAGCGCCGCTTGGTGGTCACCCTGATCCTCGGCCTCCAGCTGCAGGGTCAGGGTCAAATTATTAAATACTCAAATACAAAGTTATTTCACTCCCAAGAGCCATATGCATTCGTGAGGGAAATAAATAGCTAAAAGAAACAGTTTTTTAAAACAGTTGTACAATAAATAATACTGTGATAATATTATTATAAAACAATACATATTTGAGGAATAAATGAAAATGTATTGTACCCGTCCCAGTATTATCTACAATAAATACTGACAAAAGTAGCAGTTATGCAGAATGGTCCATTTCATATAGTTATAGTAACTATATACTATAATAATTCATATTGAGTATTTTTTGTTTGGTTTTTATTTGTTGCATCCCTAGGAACTTTGCACCTTGCATAAAAGTAGCTATATAAGTAAAGTTGTTATTAAAATGTTTACTAAATGAATCATATATCATCCTTAACGCTACATGAGATGGGAAGGTACAGAGCCTTTCTATTTCATGTAACTTATACAGGATATCTTAATGTGTACAAACCAGGTTAAGCACATGCAGTAGATTGCAAAAAAAAAATTGCATTAAAAAGGTTACAATAAAGTAGCACCATACCAGGGAAGTCAATGCACTAAATAAAGACATATAGGGGGTTGAAGAAATATTCAGATACTTATACCTAAGTAAAGTACAGTGTTGTACGTCATAACAAGTAAGTGCCCTTCTTGGAAAACCCTACTTTAGTTGAAGTATACCAATTCAATATAATGTAAATCTAAATGTAATAGCTGCAACATGTATTTAACAAGCAGATTAGTGAGACCCTAGTGTCCAAATGTTGCTGTTTTCTCTTGCAGCTGAATTAAGTCCTTGAGATGATAACGTCACCTGAGTGACCCTACGATGCGTCACAGACACAGCAGTGCACTGTTTTTCGCCCTTGAGCAAAATGCTGAGCCCCGTATCTAACATAAAAGCAAAATAATACTCTTGTCATTCTTATTAGACATATTGGAGTCATTGTAGGGCAAATCAGTATGAAAGCAGACCTGAATTATAATGTGATGTATTACAAACATGCTGCAGGGGAGCCGTTCTTGGCATGATTTGCACAAACTGGTGTTATGATTCATCAGAGTCTGATTATGACATTGGTCAGAGGTTTATTCTGCTAATAAAACATGAGTGAGTCACACACAGACATGCTGTAATTATGCACTCACACTATAACATGTACAATCTAGATGTCTTTATAAGAATTCAAGTGTAAAAAGCAATCAGTGGCAGGTAAAGTATGTTTAGGAAGCACCTTGGAAAAAGGACACGGCATGAATTCTCCATCTGTGTCCTGTTTACAGGATTATGCACTCTCTCCCTTTCAGGCGGCAATGTGCCATGCTTATCAAATTCGATATGAGCTGTTTTTCGAGTGAAATGTATGAAATGCCCACTGGGAGAGAAGCTGTTGCATGACTCAGTTGTGACAGCACCAAAATAGCAATGCTCTGATTTTAATTGCATTGTTTTTCCTTTCATTGTAGGGGACAGAGAAGCACTGAAGATCTGCACTCTGACCCCGACTGCAGGACTTTTCATGGATCGTGGCCCAGAGGAGAGCAGGAAGCGAGATGTCAGTAAGTAAGATTTCATTTCAACAGGAGTGAAAGGGATACAAGCTGCTAAATCCCCATATATCACCGTATATATCTTCACTTCTACCTCCCTCTAATCCACCCTATAACTTCCCTCTCACTTTGACAATAAGCCACTTTTACGTGGGAGGTCTGATTCTGCCAAATGCTGAAAAAGACAAGAGATTGAAAGAATAAGAAAACATCTCATTGCAAGTCAGCTTCAGCGTTTTGTATATTATTCCTGCCTGTCATGGCTGCAGCAATACCCATTGTTTGAGACTGCTTCGTGACAACAACTGAATTTAAATGTTTAGGATACTTACAGGAGTTTAAGCTACTATTTATGGCTCCAGCTTAATGCCGTTTGTTCATCTCATTAACCTTTTAAGATTGGCCAATTCAGCGCATTTATAGCTGAAACTGAATAGGTTAATTGGTGTTTTTTGTGGTAAATAAAACCTGTTAGGTGAGGGGGACATGTTTACAGGTGTAACTGATAACATTAACAAAGGCACATCACCATTTAGAAAAGCATAGCACATCTTAATGTCATGCTGTCCTGATTAATGATATTAGAAACAGCGGTGCTGATGGATAGCTGATGTACTCTTTGACAAGGTCACAATGAGTTAGCAATAAAATGACTACCATCTATGAAAATGACATCACTGCCTGAAAACCACACATTTTATTTTAAGGAGCTCCCTGTTCTGATGCCATGCTTTTATTGGACAGCAGCTAGGTATATGCAGTGATATGGTGCAATAAAGAAATTCCCTGAAGAAATCACAAATTCAACGATTGAAAGAAAGGGGAAGCTGGCATTGTCTGCCTGCTGATTTATTGCCAATAAATCCATCCACATATAAATAGACTTTGTAACTATAACATTCCAAAAGATGTGAAAGGATTCACAGAGAGAGTCAGACTTCATGATAAATAGTTTTCATACAATAGACCGGAATAATGAAACAACGTTAAGGGTACTGTGAGCATGCAGACCTACGCCAAGGCCAGATGCCTTTCTCTCAATGTGAGCAAAAACAAGCCGTGTTGTTGTTGGATCCGCTCCAAAATACAGTATAATATATATACAGAAGCTAAATCAAAACCTCTGGATGTAACAATACATTAAGTAGCTTGAAAACCAGAATCATGAAGATGCACTAAAGATAATCCTAGCTTTGTGACAGCTTTTTTCAGGGTCAAATGATTGAACATATAAAGTTTGGCATGATAATGTTGTAGAGCAAAGGTCACATAGTCAATCGTTCCTGTTGGGAATGTGAATGTGCAGATGATGAAATTTAACGCCAATCTAGCGTCTTCCCTCAATGATTTTTGAGACTGTGAGGGTCGGTGTTGTCGGTGAGTGTTGCGTCTAAAGAGACGTCACAGGGTCACCAAAATCAATAATCTTCTGCCTCTTGGGAGCTAAATGTGAACACCAAATGTCATGCCAATCCAAACATGAAAATCAAATCAATCGTATTCATTCTGTGATATCCACTCAACCGTAACCTTACGTTTTTTCTGGTATCTATCTTTGATGCAGGGCTTAAACAAGTCAAACATTTGTCCAAAGTCATGTATAGCAAAGGTACACTATTAAAAGGAATAGTTGACTATGTTCCTTATTCTTATGGAAGATTTTCTTCCCAAGACCAAGACAGCTTCCCTCAATAATTAACATGATAACAATTTTAAATGTGGTCATCATTTTAATGCATTTGTGCCTTTCAGACGTTGACTGTGCAATAAATAGATACCGGGTAGTGTTGTAGGGGTTCATCTGTGTCAATGTATGATCATTTGCAGCTGTGATATAGTTTGCTAAAGGTTGTTAATAGGTAACCTGCAATGGTAGCTTACTACGCACAAATGTACATCTTCACCGCAAATTTCCATAACATACATTACATATTTAACCCTTATGTTGTGTTCGGGTCTCCCGTGACCCGTTTCAAGTTCAAATTATATAATAATACGCTCTAGTTTTTTTTATCGGAACAAGGCTTCATGATATCCTCCACAACAGCTATATAAACACGACAAAACCTATTTTGACAATTTTAGCCAAGTTTGAAGGTCTCTAAAAAAAAAAGTGTATAATTTGATGTTCGGGTCTGGGAAGACCCAGCAGAATTGTTGTGGGTGACTCGGGGTCAAATTTGGCCCAATCAAGATTCATCTTTGACTTTAGACACCCCAGCCCCACCCCCTTCATCCACTGTAACAATAATTCTTCGCAACATGCACCTGGTCTCCCATCCCTCTGTCCCCCTCCCCCCACGGGAACTCCACCTTTCTCAAAGAATATGTACACTAACACTTGAATCTGAACACACATATGTGGTGTAATGTGTTTTGGGGTCATAAAATACAATTACAACAGGATTGTACGGTTATGAATGCATAATAAGTTAGTGATGATGTAGTTAAAACAATATTGGATGATAGTCATTTATTTTGTGTGTTTCGGACTGAAATACATCATGGGTCAAAATTGACCCGCGAACCCCAATGAACGGTAACAGCTTTCGAAAACAACACAAGGGTTAAAAGATGCAGGTTGCATTAATTGAAAGTGCTTAAGGACTGACTGCTGAATCTAGAGCTAGAACAGGTGAGCTGTGCAACAGGGACGATAGTACCTGGAGAAAAAAAAACATCTGATGAATGAAATGCATACTCATTCCTCAAATTGGTCACCGCAGAGGAAGAATAAGTCACTTTTGGTAAATTTCCATAACACAGTTTCTCCTCTATTCATTGTCTGATCATGTGAGACTGCACTGACGATAACATTCGAGTCACACAGCTACTGCATCTGTTTTTGTCAAAGATAAATTGCACGCCAGACTTTGAAAACCACCGCAGGTCATTTAACTAAACTTAATGTTTTTTTCAAGACACAGTCTGAAGGACTTTTCTCTCAATCTGCACATGAACATAGTCAGTGAGCTGGGAAATAAACAGAAAATATAAGTAACCTGTTTCCGAAATTGCTTTCTCTCAGACAAACACAGATGGCAGCTGGCGGTGGCATAAGCCCCTTGCTCATGATCTTTTATTTGTATTTATCTGTACTAATCTTATTATTTATTATTATATCTTCATATAATAATGAGAAAATAAACACTCCATAATTCTTCATACAAAACAAGACGTGTGATATCACATCCTGCTGCCATCCGTCTTTAGTTTTAAGAACCAAAATCATTTTTTTGCAGGTTTCATATGCTTGGTTTAGTTTGTTAGCATGTTTACTAACTAGCAACAAAGCTAAAGGGAATGTTGGGGGTTTGGAGAGTATTCAAATGTTGACCTAAAGATGGC